TCCAAAAAAATGAAGTATCTAGGAATCAATCTAACAAAAGAAACAAAAGATCTCTACACTGAAAACTACAGCACTCTGAAAAAAGAAATCGAAGAGGATATAAAAAAATGGAAAGATATCCCCTGCTCCTGGGTAGGAAGAATCAACATAGTGAAAATGGCCATACTACCGAAACTGCTATATACATTCAATGCAATGCCAATTGAAATTCCAACACTATATTTCACAGAACTAGAAAAAAGAATCCAAAAATTCATTTGGAACCACAAGAGACCTAGAATAGCAAAAGCCATTATAGGCAACAGTCACATGGCACCAGGTGTAACAATTCCCAATTTGAAACTATACTACAAAGCCACTGTGATAAAATCAGCATGGTACTGGCAAAGAAATAGGCCTGAGGATCAATGGAACAGACTGGAAGACACAAAAACAAATGCAGATGTACTCAGCTACCTCATCTTCGACAAAGGAGCTCACCATCCTCAGTGGAGGAAAGATAGCCTCTTTAATAAATGGTGTTGGAAAAACTGGATATCAACCTGTCACAGATTAAAATTAGACCCTTATCTTTCGCCATGCACTAAATTAAAATCCAAATGGATTAAAGATCTAAATATTAAAACAGAAACATTAAACTTGCTGGAAAGTAAGTTAGGCAGAACTCTGGAAGACATTGGTATAGGAAAAGACTTTATGAACAAATCCTCAGTAGCACGGGAACTAGCAGAAAGAATCAACAACTGGGATCTCATCTTACTAAAAAGCTTCTGTACTTCAAAAGAAACCATTAGCAGAACTAAGAGACAATCTACAATGTGGGAAAAAATTTTTACCAGCTGTACCTCAGACAAAGGACTATTATCAAGGATATATAAAGAACTCAAAACAATCAGTCCCCCCAAATATAAAGACCCGATCCAAAAATGGGCATCCGAAATGAACAGACATTTCTCATACAAAGAAGTGAAAGCAGCAAGAAAATATATGAAAAAATGTTCCACATCACTGGTCATTCGAGAGATGCAGATGAAAACAACACTGAGATTCCACCTCACCCCACAAAGAATGGCTGCTATCAAGAAATCACACAATAACAAATGTTGGCGGGGTTGTGGGGAGAAAGGAACCCTCCTCCATTGTTGGTGGGAGTGCAGACTAGTGCAACCACTATGGAAATCAATATGGAGATACCTCAAAGAGCTTGGACTGGAGGTTCCATTTGACCCAGCCATCCCTCTGTTGGGTATCTTTCCAAGAGAACTAAAAGAATCATATCACAGAGAAGTATGTGCACCCATGTTTATAGCGGCACAGTTTGTAATAGCTAAATCTTGGAAACAACCTATTTGCCCATCCGTTGGAAACTGGATAAAGAAGATGTGGTTTTTCTATAAAATGGAATATTACTCAGCCATAAAGAGCGAGAGAATAGATTCATTCATAGGAAAATGGATACATATTGAAGATATACTCCTAAGTGAAATAAATAAGTCCCACATGTGTAAATACCAAATAGTTTCCCTGGTGAAAATATTCTGCAACAATGCATAAGATTCTAATAAGATTACTGACATTTAGAAATGGGAGGAAAGGAGCTAAAGGTGTAGGGAAGGTGTGATACGTAGGGGAAGAACAAAAAGGGAAAAGAAAAAAATGTGAGAATGAAAAGTAAAAAAAAAAGAAAAGCCAACAGCCAACATCCCCCTCAGTGGAAAAAAACTGAAAACCTTCATGCTAAAATCAGGAAAAAGACAAGGATATCCACTATGACCACTCCTCTACATAGAAGACCCAAAAACACTCCACCAAAAGACTTCTAGACCTAATTGACAGTCAGTAAAGTATAAAAAAAAAAAAAAAAAAAAAAAAAAAAAAAAAAAAAAAAAAAAAAAAAAAAAAAAAGAAAAGCCAACAGCCAACATCATCCTCAGTGGAAAAAAACTGAAAACCTTCATGCTAAAATCAGGAAAAAGACAAGGATATCCACTATGACCACTCCTCTACATAGAAGACCCAAAAACACTCCACCAAAAGACTTCTAGACCTAATTGACAGACTCAGTAAAGTAGCTGGATCCAAGAAAAATACTCAAAAATCAATATCCTTCTTGTACACAATTACAGATTCACTGAGAGTGAAATTAGGGAAATAATAGCCAAAAAAATGAACTCTCTCTGAACTAATCTAACAATGGAAACAAAAGGCCTCTACATTGAGAACTACAACACTCTGAAAAAAGATTGAAGAGGATATAACAAAACAGAATGGCATCCCTTGTTCCCTGACAGGAAGAATGAATATACTGAAAATGGCCATATTTTGATAACTGAGAGACAACCCACAATGTGGGGAAAAAAAAACCTTTACCAGCCATTCCTCAAACAAGATCTACTATGTAGAATATATAAAGAACTCAAAAATATCAGACCTCCCAAATGTAAAGACCCAGTTCAGAAATGGACATCTGAAATGAACAGACATTACTCAGACAAAGAAGTAAAAGCAGCAAATTAACATATGAAAATAAGTTCAACATCACTGGTCATTCAAGAGATGCAGATGAAAACAACACTGGGATTCCATCTCACCCCAGTAAGAATGGCTGCTATCAAGAAATCAACCAATAACAAATGCTGGTGGGGTTGTGGGGAGATAGGAACCCTTCTGCATTATTGTTGGGAGTGCAGACTGGTGTAAACACTATAGAAATCAATATGGAGATACCTGAAACAACTAGGATTAGAAGTCCCATTTGATCCAGGTATTCCTTTGCTGGTATCTTCCCAAAAGAAATAAAAGAATCACACCACAGCAATATATCCACACCCATGTTTATAGTGGCACAGTTTGTAATAGCTAAAATTTGGAAACAGCCTAACTGTCCATCAACTGGAGACTGGATTAAAAAGATGTGTTTTTTAAAAAAAATAAAATGGAGATTTACTCAGCCATAAAGAATGATAAACTAGAGATATTCATAGCTAAGTGGATGCACATTGAGGTCATACTCTTAAGTTAAAGTAATAAGTTGCATGTGTAAATACTGAATAGTTTCCCTGGTGTGAAAAACTAAAAGTATAAATAAGGGGTAGGGGAAAGGTAAAAAGGAAAAAGAAAAAAATATGTGAAAAGGAAAAACATGGGAACAATATCTTTGTAAACAGGGAAGGATGGAGGGGCTGAAGGAGGGCTGAGGAATGGGGAAAAAGAAGAGCCAAGATCTGTCATGTAAAGGAACAAGATGAATATAACTGTGCTGTATACCTAAAGTGTACTAATAAACTTAATAAAGATTAAAAAAGAAAAAAGAAATGTAAATATTATGTACTGCAAACATGTATTAATAAAATAACCACAAAATCAATAGGTGGAAAATTAAATTTCTCACAGCTTATTCTTATTACTAAAAAAGGACCCTTTTCATAGGTCAAAAATGGCCAAATGTAGAGAAGTTTATATGATTTGACCTAATATTAGACTACTACAGATGAAAATCATCCTATCAATATTTGCATGAATGCGTCGTGACTCCCTACAGTTGCAGAAAATGCATATTTGGCCTCGATGACACACCAGGATTCTTTCATCTTCTACTCATAAAAAGAATCCAGGCAGCCTTACGCACTTTGTCCACTGTAAAAGTGCAAAAAGGAAAGCAGGGAAATTAAGAAGACAGCTCCTACTGAGGCAGCATGTGTCTTCCTGAGTTAATTTTGCTTTAGGCCAAAATAGCTTTTCAGAATTAAGCATTTCAGTTGACAGCATTTCTCAGAGACAGGCAAATTACTTTCTTCAGCCAATATCATGCAATGGCCAGGTGAGTGACACGGGTTAGTTAACCTGAAAGCATTATGTGAGTTAATAGGCAGTGTTGGAGACTTTCCTTATGAATGTTTGGACAACAAAACACACTGGTAAAATTCTCCTGCTTTCACCTATTACTTATCAGCAGTTGCCTAAAATTTCATCTCTTTATTCCTTTTTGAAATCTGCAGGGCAGAGACTATAAAACTCCCAGAAAGTAATGACTGCATCTCTTCTCTATTGAACTATTAAAGCATAGTTTCACTCTTCTGTGACTTGGTCAGCCGTGGCTCTGAAGGAGATAAGAAAGGACGTTTCTTTGACTTCGGCCTCCATATCTAATCCATGCCTGGTGCCATTTCCCTTCTTGCCAAGAGAGCTGGAAATGTCCAGCTTACACACTTCCGAGTGGGCCAGCCTGATAACTCCAGGCTGTTGTCATGCACACAGTTTCCCATTTTTCCCATTCTGAGTTTGCAGCCCCCCACCCACAAACACACACACAATTTCTTTCCTCCACATCTAAGCAGGAGATCTTCCTCTAAGATATGCTTTATGGGCCACAAAATGAATTCTTTCTGGGGTACACAGCTTCCAAAATGACCTCAGTGATCTGCAGTCTCTCATACTGTCTTCATTGTGAAGTCCGCTCCCTCGTGTGTGGGAGCTGGACCTGGACACCTGCCTCTAATGAAGAGAAGGCAGCAAACTGATGGGCTATCACTTGTCACTTCTGAGATTAGGGCATGAAAACCAGCTCCCGCCGACTATGTCCCCCTTCCCCACTTCTTGTTGCTAACTCACTCTTAGGAAAGCCAGCTGCCGTGTTACGACCTTTCTTATGTAAGGGCTCATGTGTCAAGGCACTGAGATCGACTTCATCCAACAGCCAGTGAACATCTGAGGCTCCTTTCCAACTGCTCCCAAGAAACTGAAGCCAGCTGACATGTGAGTAAAGCTTGTGTCAGACCTGGCCCCCATGAAGCCCTGAGATGACTGCAGTCCTGGCTGACGCCTGATGACCACCCTGTGAGAGACCCCAAGCCAGAGACTTAGCTGAGCCCCACCTGGGCTCCTGAGCCCCAGAAATGTGAAATAATAAACAGTGTCACTCTAAGCTGCTAAGGATAGGGGAAACCTGTTGTTCAGCAACAGATAACAAATGTATTCTCTTATCATGCCATACCACCTACTTTAATTTCTGAAATTCTTCAACTAGACTTGATTTCTGCCCCGGAGACATTCTTGCAAAAATGGTTCCATTCAGCAGAATCTAAAGAGAAAAATAAGATTGTAATAAGATTAGGGAGAAGAACTTTATAAACATAGAAGTTCTGGAAAATCATTTCAGGGCACTGATTTAATATAGCATTGGGTGGTATGTCATTAGACCTAATGTCAGCAAAGGGAAATAAGGGATTTCATGCTTAGATATTGAACTTTCACTTTAAACCCTCCATCACAACTCTATTACTTTTTCCAGACCATTTTTCCAAAGGGAGGTGACCTCTAATTAATAATAATAACTGCAGAGCAACAGAGCATAGGAATAAAAGTGCCTCTCCCTACACACTGTCTCCATAGTTGCAGCACAGGCAGAGAAAACAGCAAAAATCAGAAGTTGAGAAACAAGATTCTGTTCTCAGCTATGTCCCAACTAGCAGTGCAAACATCAGGCAAGTGAGTTAACCTCTCTAAGTCTCTGTTTCCCATCCCTACAATGAGGAGCTGTACGAAGAGCCTCTCTCAAAGCTCCTGGGGTGTAGAATCTAAAGTCCTTGACTAGTAAGTTGACAATGTTTAAGACACCACTAACAGATGGTTGCTTCTCTCACCTGAGCTCCCTTTATCACCTCCACATTGACAGCACAACCCCATACGGCACTATTTTAAAAATAGGACACAGGGAGGACAAGATAACAAATGGTTTTGAAAATAAACCATGGGGCCTTTTATCCTCCTGCTGTAATTTATGAATCCAGGCAGAAGGGTAATACAGCTCAGCCTGACATGAAATGGTGGCTTTCAGAGAGAGAGGCTGACCCTCAAAGCAGGTAGCATTTTTGAAGCCATTCTCTAGGTGGGAAGGAATAAAGAATGGAGGCTGAGATGGGACAAAATAATGCAAACTCTGAAGGGAAGGCCATGTGACTATGCAGGACCAGGGAGATGTAGGTGGGACCAGGAGCCTCCTATGAGAGCACTGCCCTTCTAGGGTATTTATCCTCTACCTCAGGGGTCCCCAGCCAGAAAGCAGGTTGCACAGCAGAAGGTGAGTGAAGGGTAGATGAGCAAGAGAAGGAAGCTTTGTCTGTTTTTACAGCTTTCCCACCACCTCCTGTCATATCAGGGGTGACGTTAGATTCTCACAGGAGCACAAATCCTACAGTGAACTGTGCAGGCAAGGGGTGTAGGTTGTGAGCTCCTCAAAGGACTCCAATGTAATGATAATAGAAATAAAATGCAAAGTATATATAATGGACTTCAGTCATTCTGAACCCACCTCCACCCACTCCATCTGTGAAAAAATTGGCTTCCATAAAACCAGTCCCTGGTTCCAGAAAGGGTAAGGAGCACCACTGTAAGTCTAAGACAATTTCAGCGATGATCATTCTCATTATCCTCTTCTATTTTGCCTCACTAATGTGCAAAGCAAAACAAAACGCTTCATTTCTCCAGTACTTACTTTTGGAAGCAAGCTGTTGAAATGCTGAAATATCACTTGGTACGATTTCCCAGTCATTGCAAAATGGTAACAGCTCCCTCTTCCCCCATCAGGTAATGAGCTGTTTCCAATATTAATGTAGGTTTCCTAAAATCAAAAGGGCATCATTTCTACATGAGCTCTTCAGGAATGTCTCTGCTTTCCCATGTTTCATGGAAGGAAATGTGTTCAAGCTGCATGGCAAAGGGAAAGGCAGCACAGGCAAAATGTGAAATTTGCTCATGGAACCCTGGCCCACGAGAAGAAGATACCCAAATCTTCCTCCATTCCCCCAATGTCGTGAATGAGTGATACATGGTAATGACAACATGGTTGCTACTTAGGATCCTTTCCTGGGAATCAAGCTTGTGATGTCAGTCTACTGGAAAAAAAACAGCCCAATGTACCACTTCGTAATTATGAGAAAGAAAGAAAACATTCTTCCATTCCGTCCTTCTGCTCTTCACACAGCCTTCTGTTTCCTAAGATCTCTTGCCATCCTTTTGTTCCTTGTCTTCCCTGCAAAGTAGGCAGATTCTTTTTTGACAGAGCCTGACTTCTTTCTGCACCTGAGATTTGACCTCTTTTCTGGTTCTACCAAAACACGTTTCACGTTGCCCCATTCTTTTGTGCCCTCTGTCCTATTACCCCTACACTACTCCTCCTCTCCTATCTTCCACCTGTAGGTTTTGCTCTCTGCTCTTTCATAGCCCCACCTGGCTCCAAGCTGGGGAGTGCTGCAGTCACTTTTCATGTCTCTAGGGCACAGTGGTCAACACCCAAAACTTAAAGGAGGAGAGGTTTTGTTTGGCTCATGGTTTCAGGGGATTTAGTCCATTCTTAATTGTTTCCAAAGCAGAAAAATCATGGCAGAGGGACATGGTGGAGCAAAGATGCCCAGTTAATGGTAGCTGGGAAGCAAAACAGACAAAGAATAAGGAGCCAGCACTCAGATAGATGCCTCCATGACCCAACACACACCCACAAGTGTACTTTACTTATCCTCTAGGAAGTCCCCAAGACAGTCAAGTTTACCATGAAGCTTAACCATCACAGGGAGGAAGCGACTGATGGGAACTGTGTCCCTCGCTGATTATGGTTTTTCACGCAGTCTTTCTCAGAGGGCCTTACATGCGTATAGGATACTAAATTCAAGTAGCATAGGAGGGAGAACATTTTATTTATTAGTGAAATTCGCCTCAAGGAAAACACTGTGTTTAGACGAAACAAATCTGCTCTACTGAATTTAGAGGCAAGGTAAAGACTCACACTTCCTCTTCCAATTGAGTACAACTGACAAAAGATATGCTCTAAAGACATAGGCAGGAGTCCCTTTCTGCTTGTGCCAGGAAGGTGGGGGAGGAGGTGTGGTGGTCAGAGAGGAATAAGAAGAGGCTGAGTCTGCTAGTGAATTTCTCCCGGGAACAACCAGATCTTCAGTAAAGGTATTAAACTCATCAGTGAGTAGTGAGGCTGGGCTCTGTTAGAGTTAGCAAAGGCCCTGAGTAATACAGCAGTGAACTCTAGGCAGCAGGCACTGAAGCCAGCACAGGTGGACTGCCTGGGACGTTAGCACCAGAAATCGGTTGAAAGTGTAGAGTGCTGTTATCTTTCTTTTTTTTTTTTTCTTAAGAGTAGGAAAATTTATTGAGAAAAAGATAGCTTCTGTCTAAGAGAGACAGAGAAGGGAAAGGAAAGTGGACTGCCCATGAGTGCAGTTACATTTCATAGCCCGTGTGCTATAGGTTTGAATCAAACTGACCCACCTCTTCCCCAGGCATGAAGAGGGCCTCTCCACATAGCTGTGAAGTCTGTGTACTGCACAAAGGTGCACTCCATATTTAATGATCTGAAAGGCAGTTCGACTCGGAGTAAGGGGCGTTTTTGTACTTCTTCACCTGGAGGGCCATCTCTCTGAAGTCATTCAAAAGCAAAGACACCACCTTTAGTGATGGATGTCAGGCTCCGGCCCATTCTCATCACATGAAAGAGCTACTGCATCACTAGAGAAGCCTGTCGACTTCATGTCACAGGCTCAGAGCAATCTAAATGCCCATGGATTTGTATGGAATTAAACAGACCTAGATCTGGTTTCTGCTCTGCAACTCATCAGCTTCTGTCTTGGCAAGCTTACTTCTCTGAGTCTGTTTTCTGTTCTGTAAAATGAAGAGCCTGCCCAACTACATAGGGTCATTGTGAGGATCAATGGGAACTATGGGAATAAATCAGCAGCTCTCAGCCTTCCTGTACATTGGAATCCCTGGAAGATGGGCTCACGTGGACTCACAGCCCAGAGGTTCTGATTTAATTGGCACTGCCTGGATTAGGAGATTTGAGACCACTTCAGGTGATTCTGAGGTGCAGGCAGGGCTGAGGAGTGGCACCGGAAGTGCTTTGCAAACTGAACACTCCGGACAGATGTGAGGGATTATTACTGGGATGACTTCTACAGCAGAGAAGGCTGTGCAGTGCCAGGGCCTTAGTCTCTCAGCCCAGGCTTGTGGAAGAAAATCCTAATGTTTGCTCACATCCTTCCCTGGTCCAGTCTCTTGCTTCTCTACCAGCTGCCAGGTCACAGAAGCAGCAGAACTCTCTTCCGGTTCATTGGCTTCAACAATGATCACCTGGCTGCCCAGAGGAATCATTTCAGAATTCTTTGCAACAGTAATAGCTGTTTGAAGATTGTCACCTAAAAGGTAAAGAAACTCTGATTGTTTTAAGTGCAAATCTCTTAGGAGCCAACCAGAATTGAGCTTACCTTCTCCACTCTTACTTGGTGCTCTTTGGGCATGTTCATCTGTTCCTACTTTATAACTATTTATCTTCCCCTCTGCCCAAGGCTGTCTGCCCCTAGTGGGCAAACACTATGTTCACATCTCTTTTCCATGATGATCAACATCAGGTCTGACCCATTGTATATTTTCAAAACAAGCACAAATGAATGAAGAATTATTCAAGCAGTTTATGAGTGACTGACCCTCATAGTTGTGAACATAATATGATTGCCGTCGGATAGCAGGAAGCCACTCTCAGGACCTTTATCCCAGTCAACCAGAGAAAAAACACTTAGACTGAGGCCAGGCTATGCCTGGGTTTGGTGAGCTTGTACCACACCTGGCCCTTTTGCTCTGAGCACTGTCATTCAAAGCTCATAGCCTTTACAGAGATTTCACGGGGATTCTTCAGGACAACGCATCTGTTCTCAACATTCCAGCTGCTGCGTGTAAATCCCAGGTAGGAGGGCAGGCATTAGGCAGAGGGGAGATGTGGTCCGTACCTCCAAAGCTTCTAATCCTGCCACAGGACCTACAAGTTAACAGCCCTATGGGATAACAAACTCAACAGCAGGACATTTTCTTTCTGCCTTGGTCACATGAGCTCACTCGGCTCGTGAATCTTTGTGTGTGGGTGCGTACTCCTTTTTGGTTTTTTGTTTGTTTGTTTGTTTGTTTGTTTTAAAGGGTAGAACACAATGAACCTGTCAGGCCTCCAGAAAAAAGCATACCTGTAATCATCACAGTCCTGATGTGGGCCGCACTTAGTTCCCTCAAAACCGGCTTGGTTTCCTTTTTCAAGCGATTCTCCATGATGAGAAGTCCCAGAAATGTTAACTCTGACTCTGCTTTCTCCCTATGCATTCAGGAGAAGAAAATAATAATAATAAAATAAAATAATATTGAAGGGTAGCCACGTATTCTTGACAGTTAACCTTACTTCTTCCTAAAACTTCTTTCTACATTTTATTAATGTTGATATCGTACTTACACATGTTAAATGAAAAAGAATCCCCGTGCTTCTAATGAAAACCAGTAGCCTGTCTCTACCACCCCCCTGTGGAGACAGATGTTATTGTATTAAGCAGACATGCACCTTTTCTTACTTAAGCATTAAACTTGGGCTTGTGCTATTTTGAAACATGATTTAGTGAGTTAAATTTTTTTTGGTTGCTTTAGTACAGGAAGTACAAAAATGTATCAAGTAGTATTTTGCTTATGACGTTGTAACGATCACATACATAACCACTAGTACAAGAAAAGTGAACGTTGCTTACTTATTCAGTTTCTCAACATATAGAGTTGAAGTCAGGCATTCAAATCAAAGTTTGATAGTATCTCTATCACAATTTTGTAAGACCAATAGTCCCAGAGAAAAACATTGCCCTTCACAATCACGCCTTGGTCATGACATCGCCTTTTGGCAGCACGTACATTTGTGAAGAACGAGTTTCAAAGACGGAGCCCATAGAGAATAAAACTGGATCAAAACCTTCTGAGGAGCATCTTAAAAATTAACCAAGAACTGCAATCACTTCCATCAAACCAGATATTACTGTATTAGAGTCACAAAGACATGGTCAAACAATTGTTTATGTTATCTTTTTTTCTGTTATAATAAAAAATTATTTTAAAAGAAAGTTTTGTTATGTATATATCTATGTGGATAATAGATCTATTATACACACACACACACACACACACACACACACACACACACCGTGGCCCAAGACAATTTTTCTTTTTCTTTTTCCATTGAGTTTATTGGTACTTTTTAGGTATACAATACAGTTACATTCATCATTGGGATCTTGTACCTTTACCAAGACAATTTTTCTTTACTCAATGCAGCCCAGGCAAACCAAATGTTGGACACTTGTATTTTAGGTGTTATACAAGTATGATTGAAAATATGGTGAACATTTAATTTTTTTAAGTTATTGCAAGACACAGTGCCATTTATCTCCCTCACTTCTAACACACTCATCCCATCATTCTTGCCATCTTCTGAAGCAATTTTGGAAGTCTTCCTTCATGAGTGTCTTTAATTGCCCTATCGTGGCTGCCTTGATGTCCCAAACCGATCAAAAATGTTCCATTTTCACGGTCATTTCGAGTTGGGGAAGGAGCTACAAATCACACAGTAGCAGATCCGGTAAATAAGTTGGATCTGGACAAAGCATAATGTTTTCACAAGACTGCTTTTCCATTGGGTGACACTCAGCAGCAGCGTTCAATGTATTTTTGATGACACCCCATGAAGACACCCACCAAAAAAGACTTCCAGAACTGCTTCTGAAAGTGGCAAGATGATGAAAGAAATGTGCTCAAAGGGAAAAGTAGTATTCAGAAGGGGATTAGTAGCAATTTGTCTCACTGCAATAAATTTTTAAATTTAAATATTGACCATCTATTTCAATTATACTTTGAAGTAAGTACTTGGGTGAGTATTCCAATAATCAAGTATCAATCCTGTCTTAGCAAGATAGAGAATGCTATAAAAAAAATCTACTGTAACTTGGGAGTTTTTAAAAGACTCTTCCCATCATATTACTTTATTATTTCCTTTTATAAATTGGATTACTGCTAACTAAACCAAAAGGAAGACCAAAATTCTTCCAACTGGTTCATTGTTTACTTTGTTACATTCATAGAAATTGTATTTCTTTAAATAGTTTATTGATGTGCAATTGGTGTGCAATTGAATGTGGACACTTTGACAATACCCACACACACTGTCATCAAAATAACAAATACATCCATAACCTCCACACATTTCTTGTAACTTTCTGCTCTTGACTTTACATTGTGTTTCGTTTTGCTCTGAGACCAGAACATTGGAGATCTACCCCCTTAACAAAATTTTAAGTGTACAACACAGTATTAAAAATCTCTAGAACTTATGCTACTCGCATAAATAAAACTTTATGTCCATTAAACAACTTCCCACTTCCCTCTCCTCTTCACCCTTGGTAATAACGATTCTACTTCTCCTGCTGAGTGTGGCTATCCAGGCGCTTTGTGTGTGTGGGATCATGCAGTATTTCTCTATGACATGTATTTCATTTAGCATGATACTCTTAGAAGAGAAAGAAATCTGCCATGTGAAACAACATGGAGGAACATGGAGGACATCTTTGCATGTGTACGTTACATTTTTTGGTTGTTTTGTTTTGTTTTTTGGTACTGGGGATTGAACTCGGGTCCTTGCGCTTACAAGGCAGGCAGCAGAACCACTGATCTAAATCCCCAGCCCCTACATTACATTTTTTAAATCTATTCATCCACGGGTAGCCATTTAATCTCTTTATGTGTCTTGGCTCTTGTAAATAAGGCTGCAAAGAACATGAGAGTACAGATGGCCCCTTTGACATTTTGACTTGAATTCTTTTGGATAGATACCTGGAAGTAGGATTGTGGAGTAGCTAGATGACATAGTCATTCTATTTTTAACTGTGTGAAGACCACCCACACTATATTTTATAGAAGTTGCACCATTTTATACTCCCACTACATAAGTACATAAGTTTTTCCGTATCCTCAGACTTGTTATCTTGTTTTTCCAGTACTAAGGATTGAAGCCATGACCTCACACAGGCCAGGCAAATGTTCCACCACTAAGCTCCATCCTCAGCCTCATTTTTTTCTTTTTTTTTTAAGACTACCATCCTAATAGGCATGAGGTGATCTCATTATGGTTTTGACTTGCATATGAGTGCTAATTAGTGAAGTTGGGTCCCTTTTCAAACACCTGTTGGCCATTTGTATGTTTTATTTAAGGAAATGTGCATTAAACTCCCTGGCTCATTTTTACTTATATATTTACTTCTGCTATTGAATTGTGTTGCTTATACATTTTGAATATGAAAAGGTAAATGTTTTGCCAATATTTTCTCCCATCCTATAGGTTGCTGTTCAATATTGGATAGTTTTCTTGGCTGTGCAGAAGATTTTTAGTTTCATAACCTCAAACAGAAATGAAACAAGACCTTCATCTCACACTGTACACAAAAATCAACCGGAATTCAATTAAAGTCTTAAGCATAAGCCTCAAAACTGTGAAGTTCCTAGAGGAAACCATAGGGGAGAGTTTTCTTGACTTTGGCTTTGGCCACAGTTTGCAATGGTTTCTTGAATATGACATTAAAAACATAGACAACAAAAGCAAAAAGAGACCAATGCTTCTGCTTCTAGTTTACGGCTTTTCCCAGCATGCACTGCTCCTGGCACTCTGGCCTCTTGCTTCTCCACAGCTTCTCAGCATTGCGGGGTTGAGGCCTTTGTAGTCACCGACGCTGTCCCCTGCAATGTTCATCCTAAGGAAGTCTACATGCCTCGCTCTTATTTTACTCAGATCTCCGTCAAGGACTTACTTTGTCACCTCATGCCAAACAGTACTTTCTGCTTTTTTAAAAACTCCCTTAACCTGTTCCATCATTTTCCTGCAGGACATTTCAGAAAAACCAACTGCACGATATTCCATAGATTTTACTTTATCATCTATTTTCCCCATTGGGAATACAAAATTCTGGAGAGCAAGGTTTTCACTTGATCATTTAATTCACAGTAAAGGTCCATAGAAATTTGCTAAAGCAATGAAAGTGAAATTCCTGATGAAGTATTTCTTCTGCCTTTTAGTTTTAGATGAAAATGGATTCCAAATTACTTCAAAGAAATTCTTTTACTTCCCTTTTCATTACTTTTAGCTTTTAGAGGTTTTCTATTTTCTTAATTGGAAAACTTCACTAAATATAATTTGATTCCAATAAAAATCAAAATCTATCCTTTTAACCTATTTGAAAATATTAACTAAATGCTAAGAAGCACAGGGGGCTCCTGACAGTCCTTGCGAAAAACTTGTGGTGGTTGGAACCCATTTTATTATTTTGTTACATTTATAACAATGTCTATTTCGCTAGTGGTGCTTCAATGAGAACACAGCTGTATTTGCGTATGGCCGCTGGGTGATGGCTTATGTTCCACCAGTAGCTACATCAATCTTTTCCTCACACACAACTTTGACATTTGTTATTCAAATGCGTGTTTGAAAAATTATACAGTCCTACAAGGTATAGGCCTTTATGCTTGCTTAAGAACAGCTCACGCCTGGAATGTAAAATCTGAGAATGTCGTTAACATATTTCAAATCAAGCTGTGTGATTCCATTTCAAATATTAAAATGTTGTGCCTTAAGTTTCCCAAGAGATCATCCAGTCCAACAGTTTGAGGATGGAAAGACAGATGCAGAATGAAGATGGGGAAATGACTACTATCATTTTAGGTAGAATTAGGTTGCAAGCAAGAATTTTAAAGCAAGAATGTCAGTATCTTACTGAAGATACTACAGGGGCCAATTATATATAAATGCAAATCTATCAGCAACATATATCAAATACATCAAACATTAGTAATACACTGATTTTCAGCTATTTAATTTGCCACAGTATTTCTCTACTCCTTTGTCACGGTTAAATTGAAAACAAATTTTAAAAGCTGAAGAACATTGGAAGAAAAAAGATGGTGTATAGATTATTCTCTAATGAAGATGATTTGTCCACTTAATGTAATTAAGAATATTGCATTTTATTTCTTATAAAGAATCAATTTGTACTCATTACCTCTGCAGACCTGGGGGAGGAACACTGTTGAGTCTCTTTCCCAAACTCACCCCCGCCAAATTACTAATCTAAAGTATTCGGGGAGTCTTTCAATTTTTCAACTGTCTCTTTCTCTCAGCCTGTTTATGTGTGGGACACCCAAGTAAGTCAGCCCCGTCATTTCAGAGCAAGAGAGTCGGTTGGTTCTTGTGGGATGAGAGGTAAGACTAAGGTGGGCATGATGTAGTGCAGGCCAGAGGATGATATTAGCCTATCTGAAGCCCCAGATGCCATCTTTTTTCTGCACAAGTCAGCATCGTGACCAGAGCAAGTGTGCCTCAGTCTCACCTACAGCTGCCCTTCTCCGTGTCAGAAAACTGGATGAGACTGGTTCTCCTTATCCTGAGCCCCCCGGTGATGTGGACGCTCCATCTATCTCTCCATCTCCAGGATTCATTCTCTTACTGCCCACAGAGCTTGGCCCAGAGCTGAATTCTGACTCTTTACCTTGTTAAATGCTCCACTTCTGAAACCTTCCGCATCCTCAGGACTTTCTGGGCTAGGGCAATCACACGGAATCCTTGTACTGTGTAATTCCTCAGCACCTCTGGGAAATTCTTGGGCACTGTCAGCAGAGAGGGAAGAGGCAGGTATAAGGTCATATTAAAGGTCTAGGATGCTGTCTCTGACCTTGCTTTGCCTTTCACCCTATGAAACTGCTTTAACAGATCACGTACATCTTCAGACAAAGACCACAGACAACTCCATCAGTGTGTTTTAATTCTAGTGGAAACAAACACCAAAGACATGCTGGTCATAGGCTGCGCAATGAACTAAGTATGTGCCCCCAAATCTGCGTGTTGAAGCTTAATCCCTAATGTGATTATATTTTGAGGTGGAAACTTGGGGAGCCCTAAGAAGTGGGATCGTGACATAAGTGTATTCACAAGAGATGATCTCTCTGTCTCTGCCTCGTGACAATACAGCAAGAAGGCAGCCATTTGTAAACCAGAGAAACAGCTCTTGCTAGGCACCAAATCAGCCAGCACTTTGATCTTGGACATCCCAGCTTCCAGAACTGTATGAGATAAAGTTGTAAAGAAGTAGTGGGCCAAGTGGAAAAATAATTCATCTCTGGCCTTCACTCCCACTTAGCTTTCTGACCTTGGTCATTGAAGTCCTCTTCTGTACCTGTTTCTCATCCATACAATGAGAGGGTTTCGGATCCCTGTGTCTCCATTCACCTGAGACTTTCTGTAAGGATAAACTCTTCCTTACATGGAGCTATACTTCCAAGGAAATCCTCAGAGTATATCTGAAGACGATATTTGCATACGTGAAATATCGGAGGCTAGGGCAATAGAAAGAATTGACAAGGCCACTAAAAGCACTAAAAGAAGCGATAGGTGACAGACTTTACCCCTCCCTCATAGAACAGAAGCACAAGATGCTCACAGTATGACTGAAAACAGAACAAAACAAATCTGAGTTTGGGCTGTCATCTCCTGGTGGGAACTATGTGGAAGACCAAAGTCAGAAAAGACAGGGCATTTCTAAGATTAAAAAATGGACTTCAAATAAAGAAATGAGAGCCATCATTGGGAAAATCAATTCCATGTACACACGAATGGCTATCAGCAATCACAGCAGAATGTAGATGAAAATCAGGGCGGGGGAGTGCAATTTTATCCAAATAAACTCATTTAATGCAACAATACTCATAAAGCTGGCTGCTGCTCACAAAGTGAATATGTTTATAAGACTAAGAAATAATACAAATCATCTCAAAGTCTGATCCAGAAAGAGAAAATTGCTGTGAAAATGATCAATTACCTTGCTCTAATTTTGTCTAATGTACTCTAGTCCTTTTTTTTTGTTCCTAAATGCTTTATCTTTTCTATATTCTCCTCTCACTGGTCTGTATGAGTCTTTAAAAACAGTCAGTGTTGCCACCCAGCTCTGCTACAGGTGTCAGAGACCCTGCCCGCGGAACGCGTCCGGTGTCCAGACCTCACCTTAGGTCCCCCTGAAGGCTCCTCCTTCTCCCTTTCCCTGGTCCTCTGACCTTGAGTAGCTCCCTATCCTGGCTCCTCACGTGATGTTCCCAGTTTTCCTCCCCAGCTGTCCTGCCATGTTGTATTTTCACGGCTGGACCATGGCTAGACTTTAGTCTCTGCTACAGAGTCTTGAAATCAGCCTCCTGACGTCACAAGATCTTCCCCTCCCAGAAAAGGACTCCCTCCAGCTTCACGTACTTCGGAGTATTAAGTGCTCATTTGCTTTTGTGCCCCCCACCACCCTTTCTCTCGTGGTGCCACTGTGCTTTTCACGTTTGACTTTTAAAACGATTTTGCCTCTTGAAAGAGAAAGGAGTCAACACCTGTTTCGGATCTGCAGAATCTGACCACCATTTCCGGGGCGCCCTTCATGTAGACATGAAAGTGGCCCTCCCTGACCAGCTGAGCGACCACAGACATCCGCTGCAGACTCGAGGAAAATGGAAACTGGAGCAAGATGACAATGGCTGTCACGGGACTCTGCAAGGGCATCAACGAAAGGGAGTTTAGCCAGGTTTCAAGTGCTACTTAGCAGACACAACCGAAAAAGAGTGGTTACCCTGTAACGAGTCCAGTGACATCAGGAAGCAGTGGGTTTGTTGTAATGCTGATGTGTTTCTGGCTGTATCTAAGGGAACTTCCTCAACTTCCCCTCTGGTCTGCAAGTCCCTTCCCTTTGCACGTCTGGGGAAATCCTGATGCCTGCCAAGCCAGGCTTCTTTCCTCTGGGATGCTTCTCTCTCCTACCTTGCACTTACTTGCACCTGTACTGATTTTCTACAGACTGAGCCCTCCTCCGACATGAGCTCAACAGCATGTCTTGTTCTTGAAATCTAGTAAAACGTTCTAGTATGCGTGGGTACCTAATGAGTCATCTACCAAATAAACGAATGGACAGACTCAGGACCAAAGGAACCAGCAAACCAACTATGGGATTTGTTAGGATGAAGCTAAGTCATAGGAATATGAAAATACGTGAAGGAGAAGTTTCACTCGTTTTAAGGAGAAAGAAATACTGATTTAAAGAAGCAAATCATACCTGACTGGCTTTTGGTCCCGGTTTTATGACTGTGTTTGAATCTGACAGGCCAAATTTGCTGGAGTCTACACTGCAATCTTCTATTTCCTGTTACAAAATGAAAACGTTTAGAATATTCGTTGGAGAAAAATGAGAAGGAAATCTTTCTTTTTTTGTGTAAAATTTTAATCTCTTCAAAGCCCTGTTTATGTACGTCTCTTCCAAGATAATTATCTTCAAATATAGTCATTGTCAAATCTCTGTTGTATTGATTTATAGCAAGAACCTTATTGTAGAAGGTCAAAAGGCCAGAAATTCTGTGAATCTATTCTGAGTACTAACTGATAGGAAAAGTGTTAGCTCCAGGTCGACGGTTCTTGCTACATGGTTATGTCTAGTAATTTCAGGAGGAATCACGGGATGTTATGGTTTGTGTTTAGATGCTCCCCAAAGCCTCGTGGAGTCATAGGTGGGGCTTCTGCACAGGTGGCTGGATCTAGTGTGTGCGACACTGGAATACATTCATGGTGCAATGTTAGGCCCAAGGGCACTAGGATTAAGGACATCAGTGCTACCTGCCCTAAGTAGTCTGGATAACATAAAGGGGGCACAAAGATGCTCTCAAGGTTCCTTGCTACCTTGTGCATGCCGTGAACTGCTTTTCCCCTGTGAGGACTGTGGGTCATCCAACCTCTCTTGGAGCCAGCCAATTATGGGCTGAAACCTCTACAAACTGTGAGCCAAATAAACCTTTCCGCCTTTAACTTTGCAAGTCAGATATTTGGTTTCAGCAATGACAGCCAAGTAACTAAGACACGTGGAGAACTATCTCCCAATATTGTAGAGCACAATAGCTCTTGGATGAGTTAGAATTGTGGCCTGAGATAAACATGACTATTTCTTTATGCCATATCTAAGTTACTAACCTTATTGAGTTAGAGAATTAGCAAGTTAGCTGCTTGCAAATTAGAAAGCATGTTTAAAAAAGGTCTGGATTGTTTGGCTGTTTCAAGAACAGAAGTCAATACCATTGAGAAACAATTAATTAATAATCAGTATTAAACTATGTAAAGGAAATTTAATATAAATTGTAGAAGCATAAAAAGGGAGAGAGTATGGGCCTGTACTTTATTACATGTTTAACCTTGGGGACTTCTATTCATTCCTGAGACCTCATTTTTTTCTGAAAAATATTCCTACAACCTTGTACAGCTAAAATTCTTCAGTCTATAATGACACCTTCCCTCCCACTTACGTTTAACGGAAGGTTCTTAACTAAATAAAGGATATTTCACTCAAGACTGCTTCTGACTCAGCTTTCAACTGACTGAACAATCTTACATTTTTATGTTTTCTTTGTGATACATAAGACACCGTCCTTGCAGTTCTTACAGAGCTAATAATGAAGATTTATGTTCCAAACAAGATCCAAACTTGTATGTCCCTTAAGAGGTGGGCTGACCCTCCTTTAATAAAGAAGGGGACACCAATAGGAGCCAGGTCAAAGTCACAAGTAGTAAATGGCTCTGCAACTCTTCATTTTGTCAGTTCCAGTGACGGTGATAAGGGTATGGCTCTGTAATGAGTACACGGGTTCTCCTCCATGCAGAACCAGAAAACTGCTTACTACTTTGTCTTTGTGCCAAATCCCTCCGCGGCCAACATTTTCATTTTAACTGAGTGATTTCAGAAATTTCCCTTTCTACCAGGTTTCCCCTTTCACTAATCAGACCTCCAGAAGGCTAACATCATCCTCCTGAACATGCTTCTGCCTGCCTCTTCATGAGGAACACATCACACCCCTGAAATAATTTGCTTCCATTTTTTTTTCAACCATGTCGAAATGCTGTCCTGTGTTTTATGGATTCCTAAGAGTGATTTCAGAACTTTAGTGGAGCAGAGGGTTGGGGTGTGTGTGTGATCTATTAGCCAATTGATGAATCCTCTCTACTTGTTCCTCACTTCATACCCCCTTCCGGCTCATTGTCTCAGTGATCTCCTCACTCCATCTGTGCAGATGTGGTGACAGTTACTCAGCCACGGGGAAGGGCAGTGCAGAGAGCCTCCCCATTTGTCATGGGAGCCTGCACTCGCAGGACTGTACCCTTCAAGGGTCATTCATACTCAGCTCAGAAAATGGAACAAGTTGAATCAGGATCCTTCAGTTATCCTAGGCTGTCTAATACAGTAACTACCAGCCACTGTGACTGAATTTAAATTAACCAACACTAACTAAAATTAACAATGCAGCTCCTTAGTTACATTGATACATTTCAACTGCTGGATTGCCACAAATGGCACTGCTCTAGATGAATGTTTCTCTGAGGGCATTTGCTGAAACCTTGAACCAGATTATGGCATGTCAGCAAGATTTGGGAAGTCAAGTAGATTTGGTAAGTGTTGTATATATAATATTCTACCTTGAATAGCTTCAGTGTACCACAGAATAGTAAAGAAATCCTACAGTCAAAATATCAATTCAGCTTTGCTTACTAGATCCCAACTGTATTTGGGTGTAGAGCCCTATTTCATGTTGTAGTCCCTCGCAGCATTCTTTGGAGCAGAGGCTTGGAAATTCAGGTAGTATCAGACTAGAACTCATACAGTGAAGATTCACACTGGATGATGAATCTGTCTCTGAATTTTAACCACAGTTGGAAAGGGCTTCGACAGTTCATGTCAGGATCCTTCCAGTTCTCATTGAACCAAGCAAGCTGTCACCTTACCCAGGCAGTGCCCTCAAACATCTTGAGGTCCAGAGGGTCCCCCTGGATGGTCCCATCGAGAAGGATCAGAGAGTGGCAGCTGGCCATGGCCGCACACAGGGGGCCCCATGGCACGGCCTTGCCCGAATCAAAACTGTGGACTTCCTGGAAACTGGTAGAAAAGATAATTGACAAGTTGAAGTCTTCAATAAAATCATTGTACACACTCTACCCCTTAAGTCCTACTAAGGTAGAGCTCTGGCCTCCTAACTCTTCCACTCAAACCCTTAAATGGCTCCCTGTGCCCTGCATGGTGACGCCCAGCCTCAAGCCTGGTAATCAACATCCCATCTGCTCCAGTTCAACCTCACCTATCACTGCTACCTGCCGCTGATGTCCTTTTCACACTGGATTCTAGAGCCAGATTAAATTTATTGCCATTTCTATTCTTCTCTAGAGCATTCCCTTCCCTGAAAGCCCTGTTCTCTGGGCTTCCTCATTACTTAACCAGAGTATTCCTCCTGCAGAGTATCCTACCTTTAGACAATGTTTCCTCGAGTTGGGTATGCGTTTCCTTCTTAGCAGAGATTGCCACTGATCAAATACATAACTTCCGAAGGCTTGGTTATAATCGCAAGGACTTTTGCTCAGTGACACTGGAGAACTCTGTAGACTTGGCTCTAAAACACCACATACCTTAAGCAAGCAGTGTGTGGATTCATGGGCTCTTACAACAGATGGCAAGAAACCTGCCTGGTGGTTCTAGGCAAGTAAATCCATACATAGGCTCGCAGTATTTCTCACTACTCAGCCCTTTAGAGTTTGCTTCCATTTCTAGAAGCTCCCAACCAGACATACTGCCTATGCATACTGATTTCCTCTTTGCCAGTACAGAATGTCATGGATTACCTTCTTTTCTACCACCCTTAACCTGACTAGTGACTGTGTCTAGTTTTTTCTACACCCTAAAACAGGATCAGAGTACTAGGTGCATGAGAGGAAGACCACCTCCATGACTCCTCTGATTGGCGGCTGCCTCTGCTGCTGCTAGAAGCCCAAAGGCAGAACTTAGCTGAGGCCCTTGGCACTCAGACTGGGAAGGTAAGGCTCCACCCCACAGAGAAGGAGCCAGAGCTCAGAGTTCTCTCTGGGGTAGGTCTTCCCTCCTGCTTCAGCTCTGGGGTAAGAGTCTGTGGTTATCTTCTCCTGTCCCTAATACAAGCCTTCAGCTCACATCTGTAAAATTTCTAGCTACCCACCCTTCAAAACCTATCACAAGTACCATCTTTTTGGGATAGTTTTCATTGATTGATTCATTAAATTTCAAAATGAATTTGTCTTCCCTCAGCTTGTTATTTTAAAAATCAAGACTGTGTGTTATTTCAGGCAGTATGCATTGCTTCTCTGTTCTGAGTTTCTCTCTTAGTAATAATTTCTATAGCCTGTGCCATGTACTGAAGGCACATTTCTATCCTTAGACTGTGAAGCCCATGAGGGAGGAGATGCATTCTTCTCTCCTGGGTTTACCCTATGCTACTGCCTGCACTAGCCACCCAGGAAGGCTTGGAAGTCTTTAATTAAGCTTGGTCTTGATTTCACTCTTTGCTCCTCTGATTTATTCATTTGGCTCCTTACTTATCCATCTCATTCAATCCCATTTTATCTGTGGAGTCTGAAGACCTGCTTTTCTGGCTCGATTCAGAATGTGGGACTCATTTAATTAAACAAGTCGGGATAATTGGGAGCTGATTCTAGTCTAGGATAGATATAGATGATATAGATATATGATGAAGGGAATCCTTCAACCCTGGAGGAAAGGCATGAATATTGCTAAGGCAGCCACGTTGTTGTACAGCCCATCTTCACTTAGGGACTTACCAGTTGTCAGCAGTAGGAACCGTGCCCCAGAGATCTAGCCCATCTTCCGTCAAAGTGCCTGTCTGAATGCAAGAATTGACATGAACACAAGATTTAAACCTTTTAATAATGTTATGATTGAGACAAAATTGAAGCTTCTAAAAAGTTGCCATAGATCCAGCTGTCAAAGTCTCCTTATTGGTAAATATCGAACTTTACATCTGGCGATACATCATTCCCCAAAGACTGTGTTGAAAGTCAGGTGGTTCTTGTTACTAACTGGTGGCAAAAATGCAATCACCTTACACTGATTTTGTCTATTGTCTGTTGCTGCTGTTAGAGGAGAAGCTAAGTGGAAATTCAACCAGTGCCAGCTGAAATTTGACTCTTCAGCAGGTACCTGCCGTCTGTCCAAAGAAGAGCTCAGGATTTTTCTTTCTTTCTTTTTCTGTCTAGTTCACAACTTGCCATCTGGTTCACCATAATTTTCTAGAAAAATATGGGTTATGTGGTGATCGTCCAAATCGATAATGAAATGTTGATAAAGGGCTTGCAGGCTATAGAGAGAACTAAGTGCTAATAATACATGTTAATGCCTACTAATGGGTGTTTTTGTTAAATCCAGAGGAAAATGGTCAGGGGATATGATATGCTGCGTTATGGAGAAGTATTTGTCAGATAATGTAACAGAGGACATAAAACGAAACGGACCACTACAGAAGCACTTTTAATTTCCTCACTGCTTCTAGATCATTCCTTAACTGTGAACACAGTGTCTTTGGTGGCCACCCAACAGCATCAGGCCTGCTCACCACCTAGAGAGGCCAAGCAGAGCTTTCTGGAGAGCTGCGGAATACTTTGTTTCAGCAGCCACTCGCGAGCCTCTGACACAAGCTTCTAAGTTTGTGTCAGAGAAACTAGAAAGCCGAGCTTTCTAGTTTCCTGTGAAGTCACATCCATCACCATAGCACATCGCCTTCTCTTAAGGGTTTGCAGCTTTACAGCACAGGGCCTACAATGCCTTTCATCCTTACAAGTGAACAGACAGGAGGGAGACAGGCTGAAGGGCGGGGGCTGTAAGTTAGTGAAGTAGGACCAGAATCCAGCCCTTCTGCAGTCCTCTGCAAGATTTATGTGAATTCCATGGGGCGTGTGAAAAGACACCACCCACTCTGAATTTCCACATTCAAGAATTAAGGAACTTTTGTGTCCCTCATTTATTTGGACTTCATGGGGAAAAAAAGGGTAGGCATGACTGTGTGAATTATTCCTTGCACAATAACAACTTTAAAAAAAAAAAAGCTGCATGCTTCCTTTTCCTTCTGCATTGTATAAGGACCTCAACCTGTGCTTTCAGTTTCCAAATAGCCTTGGGTTGCTCCATTTCAAAAAGATTTAGCAACATTATTCAAGCGGAAATGTTTTCCTGACGACTAGATTACATTTCTAAACATCAATATTTTGAACAGAAAATACAGATGATTCTGGAGCAAAGCAGAAATGAGAACATGTTATTTCTCTGTGTGAAAATGACCCTTAGATAAGAAAATTATCCATAAATGAAAAGAAAACCAAATCATACTCATAGCTGCAGTTCTAAAGGGAATAAGACACAAAAAGAAAACCTCTTAGCATACACACAAGCCCAGGCTTGGGCCAAATTGAATAAAAAATAAAGAAAGAGAGAACTTATCTTAGGGAATTTCTGACAAACAAATATAAACATATATGTGCATAAATATAATCCAGCAGATAATTATGCCCAAGTGCTTAATGGAGGTGTGGCCGCCGCTAAGCCCACATCTCAGGGTATGATGGTTTCCCAGACTCATTCCCCTGCATCCTCAGCTGGACTATGGATTCCTAAAGAGCTCAGACTGTCTCATGAACACGACTCTCTGCCAGACTGTGCCCAGCCGCTATATGTGCATAAATATAATCCAGCAGATAATTATGCCCAAGTGCTTAATGGAGGTGTGGCCGCCACTTAAGCCCACACCTCAGGGTATGATGGTTTCCCAGACTCGTTCCCCTGCATCCTCAGCTGGACTACGGATTCCTAAAGAGCTCAGACTGTCTCATGAACACGACTCTCTGCCAGACTGTGCCCAGCCGTGGCTCTCTGCCAGTGTGGGTTAGCTACAAAATGCCCAAAGCCCGATCAGTGATCCCAGGGCAGAGGACCCAAGACAGGGAGGGCTCAACCAGGCCCAGTGCACTGCAGCAGTCAGCCCGGCCTCTCAGGCCAAGAGCAGCATCTGGACAATGGCCTCTGGTGCTGGAGTTCCTGTGGTCCCCACAGGTGAAGCACAAGAGGGGTCTCAGTTCCTCCCAGGCTGGCACATACCCCCCTCTGCCACCTAACCAGGCATCCAATACAGAAGTCACTGTCCCTAGCCTGCAGTCCAGGAAAGCAAGGCGGAGAGAGTGACAGGAGAGCGGAAATAGCCAAAGTCACTGTAACTGTCTCTTCCCTCCCTCCCTTTAATACAAAAAAGGAGACAAGGAGGAAGCAGTTCACTTAAGGGCTAGACAAAGCATTTTGTGAAATGAAATGTTTCTCACATTTTTGCCTGAAAAAGATAGCCCATCACAAAAGCTCTTAGAGTAAAAGAATATTTGAAAACACAAAACAGGCACAAAAAATGCTACAGATCACGGGGAAAAGAGTTTCCTGATGTGATAGCCCAGTTGCTACCTCTGGGGTGGGCTTCCAGAATGAGATCTCACTGTGTGTCCTCCTCTGAACTCAGGTCTCTCAGCTGTACAGCGGGTGTCCTAGACTAGACACACCCGGGACCCTTCCCAGTCCTCTAGGCCTTAACATCACCCGCCTTCAGCCTGGAAGCTGGGACCCTACTTTGTCAAAGCACACGAGGTTGATCTGCCCACACATGTTGATTCTCTGTGGGGAGATGCAGAAGATCTTCTTCTTCTTCAGCCTCTTCTGGGCATACACGATGCCAATGGTCAGAGCTGCTGGCAGCACAGGAGGGACGGTCACAGTGAGGAGGAGCAGGGCCATGGTTGTCGTATCTCTCGGAGAGACCTGGGGCCACCAGGAATGCTTAGGTTAAACCACTTCCCTCTGCCGTACCAGAAAGATCTTCAGAGGTTGTAAATGACAGTCAATCCCACCTTCCTGGCTGTCAATCTTGAAAAGAGGCACCTAAATAAAACCAGACACTCTGTGGTTTAAAGAAATCTTAGACTATCGAATCCCTGGAGGAAATCAGCTCTATGAAAGGAAATATTAAATTTCATTTCAGAACCCAAGAAGAAAACACGAGAAAGGGTCGAAGACTACCTGGGACATTTCAAGTACTTCAGGGGAAAGTTCAGGTCATCACATGTGGCAGTTGAGATCTCTTCAGTCCGATCTACTTCCAAAGGAGTTCTCTCTTAATTGCTGGCTGAATTCAGAAGACCCTTCTGCCCTTTTTCTTTGTGGTTTGCTCAACTCAAATCAGTGTGCTCCTCTGTTGTCTGGCCAGACTGACTATATCTCCCCCATTATCCAGTTTGAGAAATATGTAATCGTGGGAATCTATGTAGGGTTGAGTAGTGCAAATGTCAACCCCTCATCCCAAACCAACCGGTAGAAACCATCAATGACGTTCACAACCTCTCATAGCTGCACTGTCCACCGTGACTGGATTGCCACTAACCACATGTGGCTGTTCAACTTAAATGAACTAAAATGAAACAAATGAAAATTTATTTCATCAGTCCAATTAGCCACATCTCAGTGCTCAGTAAGTTCTATGGCTAAGTGCTACCAAATTGGGGATCATGGATAAGGAATGAAATGAGCGTTTCATCTAAGAAGGCTCTTTGGGCAACACTGATTCACAGAATGATAGGATCAAGAGGTGCCCTTAAATAACTCCCTTGAGTTAGGTCAAGCTCTCGAGAAGCCAGAGCCCAAGTACTTACTTCATGGTACATGTATATCCCTAGGGCATAGAAAAACCCCAGGACACCAAGGCAGGCCAGGAAAACCATGAACTTGAAGGCATCACTGTATAGCTTGAAGTTCAGAGGCCGGGGGTAGAGGATGGATCGCACTAAGTCCCCTTTTGCTGTATTGTAACCTACATGAAAATAATCAGAGATGGAGTCAGGCCCTTTAGCTGTTTCTTTGCAAACCAAAAATACTGTTGTTGGGGTCTCTGGAGCAAGGGATAAAAACAGCATTGCTCTGACCTGATAGTGTGTTTACCTTCCTTGTTACAAATCACCGGGTTTGGGGTGTCAACGGCACTCACTTTGCCCCACTCAATTTCCCTTGGTTTGTGTCCCCTCGGTATAGCTTCCCATCCCCCCATGGGTTGAGAAAGACTAGACTGAGGAGTTGAAGAAGACAAAATGAGATGACAAGTGAAGACCTCAAAGCAAGTAAGTGTTGGAAACAGATAGGTGTTGAAAAACAAAAATTAAGAGAAAAGAATGCACAAAGAAGTAATTTCTTAAAACTATATATGTGTAAGGCTATGATGAACATGTCATCTTGTGATCCAAAACCCTCCAAATCCCCCATTTTCTTAGGTTGAAATTCAATTTTTAGGCATGGCATTCGAGGCCCTTTATAATCTGATCTATCCCCCTAGCTTACTGGACTGATTTTGTAATCATTCATTGGTCTCAGAAGACCCTGGCAATTCCATCTTTTGTAGTTTATAAATTCAAATTAGTTTATCCTTCTAATTCTGATGTGATTGGTTAAATCCTCCCCCATGCAATCAGCCTTTGTTCAAATCCACTTCATCAAATAAGTGTTTCTGTAATTCTACTCCCATATTTTCATCCAAAAATAACTTATGTTACTGTTTGGAGTCCCTGTGACACTTGGTTATGTGACAGCTATCTCTGCTCTATGTTTTAGTCAGCTGTAAATCTGATTAAAAACTTCGTTAAGGAAAAGGTGCATCTCTCAGATTTTTCTTTAGTGCTCAATATGTAACACATCATAAATACTCACTAATCTCTGGATTATTGGGTGAAATAAACACTATATGTTCTAGATATAAGCCAACAATGGTAAGTATAAAACATGCCTTATCCCCACTGCTGGATGGACACCTGTCTCCTCAAACATGGCTTTGCTCCCTTTGGAGAACAGAAATAGAGTTTCTTCCTACTTGCTCTCTAGGCATTTTAAAGTCCTCAAGTAGTTTTCTGATCTGTAACCACGAGCTTCCAGTCAAGAAACAACCTTAGCAATGCCCTAAAACTCACTAATTTTAATATAAAGTGGTCATAAATTTAATTTAAAATGATAGCCAAGATAGTGAAGTTATAGCCCAAACCAAGGCCGAGCAGTATCAAAGTACAAGGTGCGTTTTATGTCCACGACTATGTGGCATGGCTGAAACATGATTCCGGGCTGAGGACAGTGAGCTAGGACCAGGTCATGGAAAGCCTTGTTGTGTAATGCCATGTGAAAGTTTAACACTAATATGACTGGCCATGTTAGGACTACCACAAGCTATGTTTTGGAAATGTGACCCAGGTGACTGTTTAGAGAAAGACTGGGGCAAAAATGGAAAAAGAACAGTCAAAAGCATCTGTTGTGGTAGTTTAGACGTGTGGGATGTGTTGGGACGAAACCCTGCACAAAGCAGCAATCGGGGCAGTGAAGGAGGCAGGACAGGTCTCAGGAGGTAGTACTGCAATCACTGGGATTTGTTGCCCATTGAGAGAAAGTGAGGAGTTAGAGACTACACCGAGAGACTTTTTAGATGCTGATGATGCTAACACAGAGAGGCAACACTGGATGAGTTCATGTTCTGATGCCTGACTTTGAAGTGCTTGTAGATACCCAGATAGAGGTGTCCAGCAGGAAGTTTAATGCACAGCCTAGCAAACAACTCCTCGAGCAGACTGTAGTTGACAGTGACTTTGGCAATCACTTAGAGGCTGTGTTGAGAGAGAGGAGAAGAAGCTATGGTCACTGTTGCGCCTTGAAGGAAACCTATATCACCTGGGTATATTTTCTGCCCAATGCAAGGGTTTTAATAATGAGCCATTCAGCAGGGGTAAGGGGAAAAAATGAGAATCAAGACTTGTCATGTAGAGGTAAAGATCCCAACAATGAATGTAACTGTACTGTATCCCTAAAATGTACCAATAAACTCAATTAAAGCTGAAAAAAAAATGTGGCAACTTCAAATAATAAAGATCTGATTAGAAAAGAATATGAATGTTATGACCAGAATTGGCAAATTCCAAAATTTAAAAAAAAAAAAAATCTTTCCCTAATCCAACTCTCTCCACCTTCAGGCATAAACTAAATTTATAAATGGGGAATCCACTAACCTGTTTGCAAAACAACAGCTCTTACAGGCCCCTGCCCAGAGGGCTTGACTTGGATAACTTCTGTACCGCAGAAAAGCACGTGTTTCCGATAATCCTCCAAGCTGTGGGACTTCCAGGGCATGGTGTTCTCCGCGTGCGGCAGTGGTGTCTTCGTAACAGGTATGCTTTCTCCTGAAGAAGACTGTGTCTTGCTGATTCTGTGTAAACTCGGAGAGCTACTCAGAACCGGTGCATGACAGTCTCATGAACGTATAGGATCTCAACTAACAGGACTTTTATTTCCCACCCTCTGAGTCACATGACTGTTCGTAGGGATGCTAGCAGGGCATGCAATGGTAGACTTGATTCTCTTTCACATTTTGTTTAAAGGTGAGCTTTTTTCCTTATCCCTGACCTACATGATTTGATGTCATGATTGAAAAAGTAGCCACTGTTAGCTGTCACTTAACCATTCTCCCAAGATTTCCTCAAGCTCAGCACCATTACGAGTAATAAAGGAGAAATATGGCACATGTGGCACATGGGTAGTTATTGCTATTTGTCTTTCATTCCTTCATTTATCCATTCATTCATGGACCTGTTCCTCAAGCAAGTATTTTTAAGTGATTATTCTGTGTATTTTTCTTTGAACCTGTCACAGATGCAAAGCTAAGAGAGGCAGGCTAGAGCATTTCAGTCATCCTACACCATTTCTAGGGGAACCCTATGGAAGCCCCCTTTATTATTCCATTCCGATTCTCAGAAAATCATTAGGCATTCCCGTTATTCAAGGGATAATAAAGCTCAAGCTCTCTCTCTAGATTATCAAAGCTCACCCCAATTCAAACCTTATAGCTATTTCCCTTGCCCAAGCATTTCCTTTATTGACCTTTGTTGTCTCCCATTCTTTGCTGGTAGCAGCCCTCTTCCTTTTTCTACCAACTGTTGGACAGAATATTCAAAATGCAAATGAGTTCAGAGTGCAAAAGATAAATTTCAGAGACAAAACAAAAATGTTAATACTTCCAGCCTCCCAGATTTTAAAAGCACTAAAATGAATTTAAAATTCCTTTGGTCTCTTGCTAAATTTTCAATTAGTATAACAATATGTCATCTTTCCAATTTGGAAATGGTATCATATTGATTATAGTTATACAAATTTAGGTATTATCTCTCTAGCTAATAACCGAAGGCAGAGACTTTGTTACATATATTTATACTCTGCATTTTCCCAAGTGGTATATAATAGGCCATATATATACATATACATATATATATGTATATATATACATATATGTATATATATATATTTATTAAATGCATGAATGAATTAGATAAAAGCAATTATCCAGGTTCTTCTATTACTGTTTTTTCAAAACTCGCTTCCTACTATGGTACGGCTTTTATATAATAAGGTATAAGAAGCTACAAAATTTTTATTAGTGGTCTTTGAATGTTCTTCATTCAAATTCCTTTTGCCAAGCGTTGTCCATATGCCATTTTCTTTAAAACAATTATGAAATTCCTCTGTTGTATGAAGTTGCCAACAGCATTCTAAATCACACTGTACAAGGAATAGAACCTGCTCACAAACCTCCGTATCATTATAGCACATTGTCTTTGAAATTAGCCATTGTTACAGACGAATACTAGGATATAACTGCTATGGTTTTTCTGCCTTCACCTCCAGAATACTAATCTACAGTATTTGTTTTAGCCCATACAGTAGTAGCAAAGTTCACACACACACACACACACACTCAATGGAAATGGAGACACACAAGTATTGACCAATCAAAGATGAAAGCCACCTGGGGATACTGTTCCAGAGATGATGTTCAAATCGACTGACTTCAGCCAGAAATGATTTTCAATTCTCTTACACTATTCATATATTGGTGAGGAATCTCATGGTTTGGACTTTCTTAGGAGCCCAAGCAAGGATGGATTCACCTACAAAAGATTAGGGTCTAAGGAGCCTGGGCTGGTTTAGAAAGGAGTACTGTCATCATTCACAGTCCGCTGGAGGGCTCTCTCCTGGAACCTTCCCATCCCTGAGGGAGCTGAGTGCCTCTGCATGGTAACTGTGTTGAAATGTCACGTCCTGTGTATTTACATTTCTGGGACTGTAAAGGATTTATCTCCATATGATTCCCAACACACAACGCAGTGCCTGGCACAGAGTAGGCGTTCCTGAACCTTTATCAAATAAATTGAGGAATAAGTCAAAGAAAGAGAGATGAGAGAAAGCGGCACAAGAAGAAAAGAGTAAAAGAAGATCTGATGCCAGCTACTCCAGCAGGACATCAGTGTGAATTAGCCATTGCGGGCGGTTCCTATGTGTCCAGCTCAGGGCCCTCACACACTCAGACAAATAAAAGCTTTCATGAGTAGAAGGAGGGGTGGGAACTGTGACAGAGTGAATGCCAACCCTCTCCCCACCAACCCTTAGGAGAGAAGCACTGATTATAAGTATAGGCTCTGAGGACAAAATGCCTAGGTTTCGGTGATTTATTTTCTTCACAAAGCATAATTGTTGGTGATTTGTGTCATTTATGTACTACTATGCCCATTCATTCTCAATTTGTGTATTTTCCATTCCCTCCACTAGAATGTCAGTTCCATGAAGCTAAAGTCTCATCTGCCCTGTGCATCACTGTATCCACCCTCGGTGCCTGCTAATAAACATCTGTGAAATGAGCAAGTGCACAAGCTAATGAATCCAGAGCTCAGCTGCACCATGCTTACGTTGCCTGATGGTAAGCAAATTATTTACCCTCTCTGTGTCTCAGATTTGCACACCTTACCAGGAGTACACCAGGACCCCAGTTTGATCCCCAGTACCAAAAAGAAAAAAACAGTCAGCATCATCAGATAGTTCCAAATGTTTGTCAAATAAAAGGAATACTGGCTCTAAGTTAAAAAAAAAGAAAAAAGAAAAAAATGCAGATTGCATAAATAATGTGTAAAATGTGAGTACAAAGCTGAAGTCATAAGAAAACTAAGAAAAAGTAGCTACTGGGCCAAGAAGAAATTGTATAATATTAATAGATTCTTCCCCACATGACAGTCACTGTTGCTTCTTGACTTCTGCCCTTTGAGTGGCTCAAGATCTTGAATAGGATAATTGTCTGAGGAAAGGAGGCAGAACAAAGGAACAGGGGAGTTGACGACTAGCTTTTGAGTTTTAAAAGTCTTTCATAAATTAGACCATGGATTCCAGGGATGACTTAAGGGTAATGCCTTCCCTCTACTGCATCTCTACCTAAACTAAGACCCCGGAATGGAGTTGGAAGACAATTCAGAGGAGATTTACTTGTTGTGTGTCCCTAAGAAAAGGGGCCTGCATCTCAGTAGGATTCGGGGGGCATATAATCAGACTTTGGAAACACGGATTAAAATATCTGGGTCTTTGAAAGTGGGTAGGGCTCAGACGATTAGGGTAGAGCAGGAACACCTAAAAGGGGAGACGCCCAGAAGCACCTTCCCCTTCTCCATGCCCTATACAACCTAGGCTAGGGAACAAGCACGGGGAAGACGGCCAGCACGGCAGGAGGACTGTCTGGCTAACCCCAGGTATTCCCATTGGACATTTTCCAGAATGGGAAAATTTGGAACTAAAACAAAAACTCCATGTCGTTATAAGATAGACCTGAGCCTCCTGTGTAGGTGTTTGTGCCAATGGGATGGACCTGCGATCAATAGCTGGGGCTGCGGGGAGGGCCCAGTACAGTGGGAAACTTGAGGAGGCCCCAGTGGTGAAGGCAGCCTCTGTACCCTTGGAATCCTCTTCACTCTTGTGTCCTGGAACAAACGCCATCTCCGCTTCTGATGCTCATTCACCTGCTGCGCAGCTGGGATCGCTTCTCACTGCAGTTTCCTCGTGTATAAATTGGTATTAGAATAGTTCTTACTCTAATTAGCTTTGTGCCATGGTGAAGTCAGAAGTAAAGGTTATTTATAAAACAGAAGTTGCTGCAGAGGTGCTAGGAGTATTCACTATTTTTATTCTTACATAAATAAGAATTTCTGTAGATGCAAAGGACTATTTTGCACCTAGAAAAAATAGATCTGGAATCATATTTGGGAATAAATAACTCAGGAATACATTTGTAGTTTCAGAAATCTAACCCTAATCTTTGATTTTTTTTCAGCCATAATCCTTTGCACCAGTATTATGTACATTAATAGAAGGATCTATGTAGGCAATGCAATAAAGTATTTAAAGCATGAGGGGAATTAGATTTTTTAAAGAAATATATATATATATATATATGTACATATTCTATTTCATGTGTCCATTTCCACACTTTACTCCGGTCACACAGATCTTAGTTTAGTACTAGTGACTTTAATTGTTCCAGAAATGGACATCAGGAAAAGCCACTTATCACTTAAGATCATTTTAGGTCGCTTTTGTACATTTGTTGAAAGGCAGCATTATTTACCATTACTGATTCTTTGGGACTCTGAGGTTTCCTAAGAATCAGGGAAGGTACCATACGTTGACCCCAGTCAAAGAGAGGAAAAGGAGCAGACTGAGGGCTTAAGCCTTTTTGCCTTTCCTGTTCCTGTTTTCCCACTGCTTCTGTGCGCTCTGCTGCCAGCAAGAGAAGCCATTCTGTACCAGCAGGCTGTGGGGGACAGCAGACAGTTGCTGCATGTGACTGAGAAGGACAGTTTTTCTCAAGCTGGAGGCTGGCACATTGGTACCATGGCAACATTCTGGATAAAAGATATGATCAGTATGCAAATCCTCGTCACCGTCATTATAAGGCAGTTAGATCTCAACACACTAAAGGGATATTCTGTAATTATACTAAACATATTTATGTTTACTACATTTTCTTGTCTCGATTTTAAATTAAGCAGACCCATTTTTAATGTGAAATCTGCTTATGCGGAACAATTCAGGAATAGATAATGAACTTTCGTTACATTTAGGTTGTGCTAAAGCTTTGTGTATACTCTCTCTCCCTGACTTCATACCATTTGAAAATTGAAAAACTCAACAATCTGTAAGCACAAAAGACAAACAGTTTTTAATCTCTGTGTTGCCGTGTAGTCTCTTTTATTACAATGTGCTGTGCTTTGTGGGGTTTCTGTGCCTAAAGAACACTTTATAAATAGTGCCTCACATAAACACAATGAGACTTTACAAACTCCAAATGAAAACTAAGACCGTTCTAACTTTAACTGGAAGACCGGTTTTCTGCACAGCAAGAACAACTGCAGATACAAATTCAAAGGAGACCTGAGCTGTTACAGTCTATGCCCTAATGTTCAACACAAACTTCTTAGTGAAACCTAGAGCTTGGTAGTTTTCTATCCGTGAAATACAGGTCTGAATAAAATCCCCACGCTCTTCCAATGATGGGAATCACTAGCTTTTTTAGGTTGTACTTTGTTTGGATATGAGTATAAACAGCTCTCTTATTTATGAAAAGATTGTTGCAATCTGTTTGCCAGTTCTGGCCCATTCCACTCTACTCACCCCACATGTTGGATGATTAGTCACATACGGTATTAAAAGTTTCTTATAGTTTTGTGTGTATTGTGTCTTAATTACCCTACTATTGCACACGTCCTGTTCATGCATATCGCGTCTCTATGTCAATGGAAAGGCTGGATGGGTCTCTCTCACCCAGCTCTCAATATCTTAGCAGGGGGCCTGGTGCTGGGCCAGTAAGTGTATGCCGGTGTGACTTGCTAGCCTGTCGCTTAGATACTGGACATGCAAGAGGAAGCGCCGTGACAACTGCTTACCTGTGAGCATGCCTTCGTTCACCACACAGCTCCCGTCAATCAGAACAGCATCACATGGCAGGGACAATTTTCCTGGAAGAATAAGAATATCTCCGGGAACCAAGAGGCGGGATTCCAGCTCCTGCAAACCTAGGTAATAGCAAAATTTCCATGACTAGCAGCTTTCTCCCTGTTTTTACGTAAGAGCTAAGGTGACTAAGGACACTTAGTGACCTGTTGGTGAAGAGCTGCCCTACCTGTTTCCCCCTGCTCAAACCCATCTCCACCCATCTGAAAATTCTAAGAAAACCAGGAATAGGGAATAGGTTCCTGGAACACAGCAAAGGATTAGCTCAGCCACAAAATTCTCTTTCAAGACTGTTACCTGGTCTGTGCTCTACCCACAGTGAATACTCAAGGGCACTGGTGGGAGGAGAAGCGCCCCTGGTTGCTGTTTGCTCTTTCCCCGTGCCCGATCCCCAGGCACCATTGCCTCAGTGGTCTGGGCCCTCATGCAAGCTGTCATCTGCTGTGTTATCTGCTGTGCTGCAGTGCAGCTTTGCATGTCTTGAAAAAGTCAGTTGCCACTCCATTCCAGGCTGGCTGACAGCCAATGCCAAGTGTCAGCCAGCTTCTAAAAGTCCCTGTTGGGCCTACATTCTAGCTGCAGAGCTTTTGAATTAGTTAGTTGAGCAAAATTTTCTCTAATATTCAAGTAAATGAACTATGGAGAGCAGAGGGAATCTGAACTAAAGCAGACATTGGGTAGCAATGGCTCCATGGGCTGGGCCAACACAGAGGCACGCAAGGGGCCCGGGGGACAAAGGCGACAGAGGCAGTGGCTCCCAGGGCTTACAGAAGCAGGAGCAGCATTTTCATAGCCTCAACTCCTTTCATTTCGTGTCTCAGGTGCCATAATTGTCTCATGCTACTCTGAGTCCTGGGTTCAATGAGAAAAGACTGTGTCTCTGAGACTAATAAGAACAAACTAGAAGGATTCCACTCAGAAATGGTAGGGTGTTGAAGAGGCAGAACGTATCACTTACCTTTGTCCTTTACCATGATGGTAACCTGGACTTTGTTGTGATCTTCCACAAGCTTGTGCAGCTTAACGGATTGCTGCCAAGGTAAAGTCAAGGCTTCAATTATAGGGTAGGCCACACCCTAAAAACCATGTGGTCTCAGCATAGTACATGCCACACCTGCTGCCACAGCCAGACAGCTCGGGGCAAGGGACCCAAACACTCTTGCTTTTGATACTCCAGCTTACTTGCCTCAACCCCTAGCTAATTGGCTCAGCACTTGCAGAAGCAATTGTGTCCCTGAGATGGATGTTATTCCACTCCCAGGGCAAAGGAGTACACCGTCATGGCCAGAAGGCGTCTATGTCCCTGTGTGCAAAATAACCAAGCTAAGTTGATTCATGCATGGCTTTCCGTCACTAAGATCCTGCGGCTGTTTCATTTGTGTTTTCTTTGCACGGGACACAGCCATCTCCTGTGTTACCAATGGGACATTTGCACGTTGCATGAATTTGCAGGCTGGAGCCTTGCTGCTGTCTTGAATCCTAGAGCTACCACTCTTAGGTTGTTTGGTTTGCTTAACTCCTCTTTGTCATCTGAAAAGGATAATGATAAGTTTATATTTTATAGGGCTATATTAAGTTAATTAATTCATATAAAATCCTTTCTTTGGAACTTAGAGCTGTGCTGAGAGCCCATGAGTACCGGTGACTATTCAGAAATTTTGCTGATAGAAAAATGCTTGTGATCATAGATCTGCCGGGAAGGTTTGCTTAAGGTAGAATTTACTGAAATAAGGCTGATAAAAAGGGGGCGGTGGAGGGGGCAGGAGATGTGGACGCACTATCTTCCAGGACAACCCAGCACCCAGTAAGCAGAGGAGAGAGGGATTTTACCCACAGACTTCTCTGTCCTGACTTGGGGTGCCGTCAGCCAGAGAGACACTGGGGCTGAGTCTTTGGGGACAACACCACCCCTTTGTGTTTGGATGTAGTGACTTGGACAACCCTAAGTAGAAGAGGGTTAGAACACCATCAGCAGTACTCAAGTGCAGCTTAACCTAGACCAAATATAAAGCTTCTTTTTCTTTTACATATTAAATTATTTTGACCTGTTCTGTTTGATGAGTTTTAATGTCACAAATGTCACCAGGCTGAGACAAGCATTACAGACAATTATGCAACTTTCTCATTGAGAGAACATAATGAACTCCGTGTTAACCTTTATATGGAAAAAAATTATTATTCCCTTCAGTTTTCCATGAAAAATTAAACTTTGTCAATTAGTATCAGTTGAGTGGAAGAAGTAACATTACTGCTGGGTAGAAATTCAGTGCCCTAAAATGTGTTGCAGAGGTTTGGTTGTTTGGTCATGCATTTAAATGATGGGTAACAGTGAGACCATCAGCCATGGTTCTGTAGCAAGAACTCTAGAGTCAGTCCCAATTCCTGAGTTCTAGGTTTGTCCTACCCACTAACCAGCCAACTGCAGTATGTAAGAAATCACATCTTACAAGCTGGTTTTTTTCTCTGTACACAGATAGATAACACTGAATTGAATCAATTCTAAATCACCTTCAACCTCTAGAATTATATCGTACTGATTTATCTTACATATCAGAGCCTTATCAGAAACCTTTGAGACTTCACAGAAGAAATACACAAGGCATGTTAAATGCCTCAAACTATTACTTTTTTACAATAGTTGGAAAACGTTGCACGACTATCACATGCTAAGCACTGTTATAGGCACTTGGAACAAAACTGCTCATATTTTTTGCATCTTCAACAAGGGTTTATGATAATGTTGTCTCTCTAACAAATATATAAAAAACCAAAAGCAAAAGCACTGATGTACACCCAGGGTGGGAAATGTTGCAGTGACTTTCCTACATCGTTTACTTATTAAGATTACAATCAGACCGAGGCTCATCTGACTCAAAAGCATTTTCTGTTGATGAGTATATTCTTGCGGTGTTGAAAACATCATTTTTCTTTATAGAATAAACATCCTCCCTGCTTTATTTTCTCGCTCAGCGAACACTTTTCGTCTCTGCCGTGATAACTTCAGCCTAACTGAAGAGGATGATAATCCACCCATTTGGAAGTGCGGAAGCATGAGTTAATAACGCTTGACAGTGATTCTCAGACCTCATTATGTTGTGGAGCTGGATTTGTTTATCAGACTTAGCATTCCGTGTAACCTGCCGATGCGCCCATGCCTTCACTCAGTCTATTCCCTGGAATGTTCAGCCCGGCTTTCTCCTAGCAGACTGTTTCTACTAATCCTTCACACGAAGTCCGGCTTCAGGATCACCTCCACCCCACAGTCCTCACCTTCCTCAAGAAGAAAGCCTTGTTCTGTCCCTTGTGTCTCCACCTGGGCTGCTGAACTGACCACGTTCCATTAGAGCTTTGGTCGGGTGAGGCGGAGGGGTTCGTAGAAGAAAGGGTCTAGGTATTCATCCGCGCATCCTCCAGAGTCTATCACACAGTAGGCCCTCAGCAAATATGCACTTAATAGAACTGAGTTATTCTGCTTCTCCCAACAATACTGGAGTAGGATAATGTAAGTGTCCTCTTGGAGCTGATGTACTCAGAAATGCTACAAGCGCAGGTTTCTATGGCAACCGACCAGCCAGGAACAGGCAAGTGCTGTGATGCTTGCCATGACTGCAAAGCTCGTTGCCTGATATTCATTAGGCCCCCTCTGGTTTCTCCAGTCCCTCTCTAGCGGGACCAGGATCGGTTTCCAAGATTAACTTGCATATGTTATTATGCAGCATCTCTTGCTTGGTGTCCTTGGGTCTGCTGTGGATGGATTTTCTCCAGAGATGAGTAATGAGAGCATTTACTCAGGTGCCTCTTGAGCACAGTGCAGTCCTGAGTGAAGGCAAAACACTGTGGACCAGAGACGCCAGATGCCGGCTCTAACAGCCACCGTGGTAGACTCAGGCACAGAGTCTGCAAATAGTGTAGGCACACTTGAGAGCCACGGCAGGCTCTTGAGGGAGGCAGCAAGCATGTGAGTGGCTTAGGTGAGTTGAACTCATCCGGCATGATTTGCTGCTAGAGTGAGTACAGGATGGTTTGTTCTGCAAACATTTCCTCTATTATGATTTTTTAAAAGCCTGTGTTTGTTTAGCTAAGTCTTTAATTCCACGGACTGATGAATTTCAATATGGCTCCATAGAAAATTTTTTCAGTACTGAGGATTAAACTCAGAGCTTTGCACATGCTAGGTAAGTGTTCATTGAGTGCTTAGATGCACGTCCAGCCTTTTTAAATTTTACTTTGAAATAGAGTCTGAAGCGGCTTCTCTGGCTAGCTTTGAATTTGTGATCCTACTGCCCAAGCCTCCCCAGTAGTTGTGCTTGCAGGTATGTGCCATTGTACCCAGATCTCTATAAAATGATTTGCGGGTGGAAACAGGTGTCCCTTCTTTCCCTCCTGCCAACTTCCTTCCCCCAAGTCTTACTATCCCAACCAGGTCCCTGGTCACTCTGAATATGTGCTCAAGGTAACCATGAGAAGGACTTGACTTGGAATCAGGAAACCTGGGACTCAGGTCTATGGTCACTGTTAGGCGGTATGAGAGCAAGTCGATTCACCACCCTGACGTTCCCTGTCCTTCCTTCTCAGATTGAAGAAGGATACAACAATTGCATGTGTTTCATTTTACAAGCTGTCATGCCTGTACAAACACATACACTGAAGATGTGGGGTTCTGTTGTACAGCGTAAAGTACTGAGCAGGTATTGATTTGGGGGACTTGTGATTTAACATGATGCTGCTGGTTTGTACCACCAAGGTACATGCATGACTGTCCCATCAGGCAGCTTCTACCTTTGGTAGTAGAAGAGGGACAATCGTGCACGGTACAATTATGCATGTGCCAATGGTGGTTCAAGCCACCCAGCAGCAAGACATACAAATTATGCCCGCATTGTGGAAGTGTTAAGCAGCAAAGATAAAGTTTCAGGAAACGGGCACGTTTTGTATGGAAGCCTTATGGGCTGGGTCAGATCACCTTTTAAAACAAATACCAGCTGCTAATGAGATTAGTGTCTCTTCTCGTTCCTTTTCTTTCTCTGAAAGAAATCCTTTCCAGTACAGTCTCCGAGTCCGAAGTTCCCACGTTGATCGTTATTTTTGGCAAAGGAATTTAGGGATTCGGTTAAGATGCAGAACTTGAATGTCTAAATTCCATTAAGGATTTTATAATAGAAATTAAGCAAATTACAACTGGAAAAACCTGAAATCACCTAAGTTTGGAAGGGGCACCTTTTTATACAAAACAGGAAAGCCAGAAACTATAACGGAAAAGAGAAACATAATTAACTGTACATAACTGTTAATGTACAGTAAAAGAATCAAGAGGAAAAAGATAGACTAAAAATAAAACTTTTCACATATATAGTATACATAAAAAGCCTAGTAGTATAAAAGAAAATTTTTAAACTCAAATGAAAATAAGTCAGTGTTCACTAGTAATTAAAGAAGTACACATTAAAACACAATTTTTTTAAAAACCTTCTAAAGTAAAAACTTTTAAATATCAATACTATATAACACCAAATGCCACTAGGGAGCTGAGGAAATTATACTCTTGTGTGTTACTGACAGAAGGAATTATTTCACTGGGAGAAAATTATATGGCAGCATCTATTAAAATTCAAATTATATCTATCCTTTTATCCAGCAGCCTGGCTTTTGGTTGCTAGACTAAAAAATGCAAATACTAATATGCAAGCATATACCTATACTGTAGTTATGTTTAATTCAACATTATTTGTGGTTGGAAAACAAGAAGAAAATAATATTACCTCCAATAAATAAAAGAATGGTTGAATAATTTATGATACATCATGAAATGTATGCTACGATTTATATAGTTGGTCTATTGCCATTTTATATATAGATATAGTAAAGTCAAAGTAAAGTGTCCTAATTAACACACATAGTAAAGTTCACTTTTAATTTAAAACTTAATAAGTATATAAATCTCCATATACATATGTATCATACATGCACCTGATAGAGTAAAAAAGTGAAAAAAACATGTGCAACTGATGATGACATTGATAAACAAGTAAACAAATACATATATTTACAATCCTGGTGTTTGAATTGATATTTCTGCAGATTTCCCTATAACAAACATTTTTAAGCCTTTGGAATGCCTAACAATCACCTGCTATGAATCTGTTAAAACTGTAGGTTTCTCTTATTACCTAGATACTTTTACTTAATAGGTCAGAAGCCCAGAAACTTCAAGTAATTCTTGTGCTGACGCACTGTCCCACACCAAGTTGAGAATCAAACTGAATTTATTCTATACACCTTCTTCAAACTCATTTCTTTGGGGTTTGTCTGCCTTCTGAATGAAGGTACATCTTCCAAATGAAAAAAACAGAAATCATAAAGGAATCTTAAGGAAAAGACTTAAATTTTCATAAATATTCAGATGGGAGATGTAGAAAACAATACAGTATTTAAGTAGAGGCACAGGCTGTCAGTCACTCTGAGGGACATGGGTCTGATTAATATGCATGGCAGAGATGCCCCTGCTTCCCTTTTCCCTAAAACCACAGCCAACATCACTGACCCATCACAGAATTCTCACCATACTCAGAGTCATTCTCACAACCTCAGAGTCTTTTTACGCACCCTATTCAATGCTGCCTCTGTCGGTCCTCTTGCTGAAATGCTACATTTCGCAAGTCTTTGCTTATTCTTTTGTTACAGCTCGTGTTTGACAAAGCAACTCCTTGCTCTCTCTCTCTGAAAGTTCCAAAGATTTGTTTCTTTATCTGGAAGCTAAACAGGACCCAACTATGCTTTGGTCTCTTACCTGTCGCAAATCATACACACTTAAGACAATGGAGATAATGGTCAAAATGATGATGGCCACAGAGTACTCTATGTAGCCCTGGGACAGCCACAGAGTTAGGGTGAAGGCTTGGAATACATAGAACGGATTTAAAACCTGCAGGTACAAAAATAGCACTTGAGTCACTTATATAGACTTTAGTAGCAATCTGGTATGATTTAAAGAATTTTTCCCATTTTTAATATACAATAACCTTAAATATTGAAGAATGTACTTAGAACTCCATTCATTTGAACAGAGACAATGTCAGGCATATAGACTATAACATGAAGGAGACATAATTATTTTTACTACTCTGAGCCATGGCTACAAATCGACAATTCTTACATATTTTGACTTGTCAAAAGTATTTTATCAGTACCAAAATCCAATGGTTTAGCTTTCTAAACAGATTTGTCTATCATGGAGGAGAAACATGATTCAGTTTCTTTTTAAAATGAGCTTTGATCTTTGAACTGTTTTATTACATTACTTCATGTAATCCTATGCTGCAGATTTAGTCAAGTTGTATAAGAGAAATGAAAGATTCTACTCTTATCCAGGTCACTTTGAAGTGACATATTCTTTAAAGTCACAGACATAGCAAAATTGTCTGGGGATCATCTGGTTCCTTGAACAAAGATGATCCTTAGAAGCAATGTTCTGCCCAAGGCTATGGGACAGTCACAGGCAGGCAATGTTACTAAGACCCAGAGCTGGCCAACCAGGTGTACATCTCCAGTTTCTTAGTAATACTTTCAATGTTTCATTCCCTCAGCTCTCCATGTCAGTCTTAGTTAGTGGTCCACTCCTGATAATTATCGCAGAGAAGACAAATATGAAGAACTAGAGAAAGGTCATGTGAGGTACAGCCAGAATGAAAATGAAGGGGCAGATTGCAATAGAGCAAAGATTCTTTTCTTGGGGGGATGACTTTTATTTTTGTAAATGAGATGAAATGTTAGCTAAAACAAATGATTCTTTTTAATATAGCAAATACAATTTTACTTTAGTCCCCAAAGCAAATGACATCTGGTAAATAGTTTAATTGGCTGTTATCTTAAGAGTTTCTTGAACCTGTGGATATATTTTGTAAGTTTAAAAAGTTTAAAAACAAATTACAGATCTTGGGTTTTCTTGGCATCAAACTCTCTAATTGTAGATTGTTCAGTAATGGTAACATGATTTTGTGTTTATAGAAATCTAGTAGAAATTTGGTTAAACTCTTTCTGTAGAAGAAACAGCAACATCATAATTAATTGCCTTCTTATCCAATATTCTTTAGAAACCAAATGTGAAGAAGGACTTATATTAGCTTTTTTTCTTCTGAAGATATAACACATGGGTGATAGAAAACACTAACGCTACTTTCAAAATAGATCAAAATCACACCTATGAAAATCTTTAGCAGTTTGACCGTGTACTTGAATATGAAGTCTAAAAAAGCTGCCTCTTTAGGATAGTTGGGGAAGCTGTAGGTATATTGGGGTGGACCTTGGTATCTAGAAAACTTCTGTACCTTCTGCTCCATTTTGCTTGGAACCTAAAACTACTCTAAAAAGTGAAGTTAAAAAAAACTTGTTTTTGGAGCCAGGGATTTAGCTCAGTGGTTCTACTGCCTGCCTCACAGCACAAGGTCTGAAGTTCAATTCCTGGTACAAAAAAAAAAATGTTTTTGCTCTAGACAGAACACGAGAGTACAACAATTTTTATATTAAAATGATTTAACCATGCTCCAAAACAAAATGATCATCCTCACAGATTAGACTAAAAATAGGTAGTATTTGATGGGGACTAAAATGACCTGCCCAGTGACTTCTAAGCAACTGCTAGACAGTGGCAGGTAGGAGCTCAATTCCAGGGTAACAGAGACAAAATGTGATCCACAAGGGATGGGAGACAGAAACTAGGCATATGGAAATAAGCAGAGGTGGCAGTGGACTTCCTTCCCACCATGGAGACTTGGAAATTCTGCATCCAGAGATGGCTCATGAGCTAAGGGTAGAATGGGAGAAAACAGAGCTGTGGTGTAAAAATGGACTGGCCAAGGCCCAATTTGGCACAAGGCCTCCATCTGAAAAGTGGAGAAGGGTATTCACACCTCCAATACAGACCTGATTCTGAACCAGGGACCCCACGGGGACCAGCTGGCGGTGAACACAGAGGCATCAAAGAAGATATCAGGACCAGGGAGAAAGAGGGGAGGGGAGGAGAGAAAATGTCCTACTTAAAATAAGGATACAAAAATAATATCAAAGCACATACAAAGATATGATTTTTAAAAAACAACTAAGAAAATGGAAACAATAGAGCTATTTGAAAAAGACCAAAATAGTAATATTTCAAATCCTCCAAAGTCATAGGAGTACTAACAATGTGCCCCTCCCGGTTCATAGGTTGAAGCCTTGCTCTCCAGTGTGATAATATTTGGAGGGAGGGCCTTTAGGAGGTCATTGGGATTATGTGAAATCATAAGCGCAGGGTCCCCATGATGATCCTTGCGGGAAGAGGAAGAGACCAGACCTGCCTCTTTCCATGAAAAGACACCATGGGAATTTGGTGGTCTGAAGCTAGCAAAAGCTCTCACCAGGAACTGACCCTGCAGACACCTTAAACCTGCATGTTCCAGTTTCCAAAACTGTGAGAAATGAAGGGTTTTTCTTTGAAGTCACCCATTCTATGCTATTTTGTCATAGTAGCTGAAGCTAAGACATCCCATTTAGCACCATCATCAAAACCAAAAAAAAAAAAAAAAGCGAACAGGAGATTCTAAAACAGAAACGTATCTCTCACTCTCATGGTTTCTACAGACATCCCACTGAAGCCTCCTGTGACCATGGTGGGCTTTGGGGAGGTGACTGGGTCATGGGGTGTGATATCTTCCTTGGATTAGTTCCCCAGACGAATTGAGAACTAAATTTGATACTGGGAGTACAGCCTGGTCGGAGGAGGTGGCTTTCAGACAGGGGCACAGCCCAAGAAGGTCTGTCGCCCCCCTTCCCCCTCCCTCACTCTGTGCTCCCAAGTCTCTGTGCCCCGCTACCTTGCCGGACTGCCTTGAAACCAGCTCACCACGAAGTGACACCTCTAGAAACTGTGAACCGGAATAAACCTCTCCCTCTTTAAGTCGTGAGTGCAGGGTATTTTGTCCCAGTGAAGAGGTCAGTAACTAAGACCCTCAAATTGATTTTAAAGTGGATTTGAACTTCAAATAAGTGGTTACTGAAAAGGACCATCAGAGAAAAGGAAACCTTAATAGACGGGAAAAAATGAAAAGTCAAGGTACCAGTAACAAAAAGGAGCCAAAAGCAGATTTCATTCACATTAAAGTATTTACGTGCTACTTACATTTCCTCCAAGTACTAGGAAATTAAAAGTAAAGGAAGAAAATTATTTTTTTTCCAAAGGGCAAAGAAAATGGCCAGTTACCTGTTTAACAAGCAGTTTCCATATGGGTTGGATTTCAACCTCGATGGCATTGGGCCCACACACAAGTCTCCTGTAGAACATTAATCAGCAGTGAGTGTCACCCCTACAGCCCCAGCTAGTGACCACCAGGCAGGCCACAAGCCACTTCTACTCTTTAGAGACATTGTAGCCTCAAGTAAACAAAATATAGTGTGCGGGTACTTTTGAAACACAAACCAACTGGTACATTTTTGAAATGAAAGTCTGCATGAGGAAGGAAGTCGTTTCTTAGTCATCAGATGCATCGCGTACCTGTACTGACTCCCCACAAGGAATGCAAACATTATGTACTATAAACCATACTAATAAAAGATAATGAAAGTAGACATTAGTCTAAAATGTCTTTGGTACAACTCAAAGCATCCAAACGAAGTTATCAGGACATTTTGAGTTATTCTTAAAAGTGATTACATTTTAAGGGCAGGTAAAAAAGACACAGATATGAAGACGCCCCTAGACTTGTCCAGCGTGTAGACCACCCTCAATGCTATGGATCATGCCTGTTTTGCCTCCATATCTCCAGCATCTAGGTCAGGCCCTTAGCACATGAGCTGAATGAAGGGGCAGAGGTTCTGAAACCGGACATATGGTCCCCATCTGTCACTGTACACATTGCATACAAGGTATACTCATATATATGTTACAAAAAGAAGCCTTCGAAGTTGTACCATAATGTACAATTTATTCCATTCTTGCAAGTGTCATTTGATCCTCACAGTAGTCCCAAGAAAAGCTTCATTTCTCCATTTTGCCAGTGGAGAAACTTGCCTAGCATGGGTGGGTGTTCAGTCTCAGAGGCTCAAAGCTACTGGTAATCGCAACAGCATAAGTTTTAAGCAGGGTCCAAAACTGCATGCAGCCTTTTATGTGCAGTCACTTCTTTAATCATTTTATTATGCTCTGAGGTTTTCTATTATCCCCCATTGTAAAGGAAATTAAAGAGACTGTGAGGAGAAAGGCACCCTGGTCATTTGAGACATGCAGACAGATTCCTCCTCACCCCAGAAAGAATGGCTGCTATCAAGAAATCAACCAATAACAAATGCTGGTGGGGTTGTGGGGAGATAGGAACCCTTCTCCAATGTTGGTGGGAGTGCAGACTGGTGCAACCACTGTGGAAATCAACATGGAGATACCTCACAAAGCTAGAATTAGAGGTTCCATTTGACCCAGCTATTCCCCTGCTGAGTATCTTACCAAAAGAATTAAGAGAATCATACCACAGTGATATATGCTCACCCATATTTATAGTGGCACAGTTTGTAATAGCTAAAACTTGGAAACAGCCCAACTGCCCATCAAACTGGAGACTGGACAATGAAGATATGCTTTTTTTAATAAAATGGAGTACTATTCAGCCATAAAGAATGAGAAACTAGTTATTTATAGCTAAGTGGATGCACATTGAGTCCATACTCAAGTGAAATAAATAGGACACACATGTAAATACAGAATAGTTTCTCTGGTGTGAGAAACTAAAAGTATAACTAAGAATCAAAATTTATACTAGATGATGTGAAATTAGAATGAAAGTTGTAAAGGGGAAGAAGAAGTGGAAGGAGTAGGGGAAAGGAGAGAAGGGAAATTAAAAATATACAAGAAAAGGAAAAAATGAAAACAAAGCCTTTGTCCATAGGGAGGGGTAGAGGGGTTGAAGGGAGGGCAGAATGGGGGAAAAAATTTAGAACTAAGATGCATAATGTAAAGATACAAATTCCCAGTGATGAATGTCATCATATTGGATACCTAAAATGTACCAATAAACTTAATTTAAAAAAAAGAAAGCAAAATTGAAGTTCAGATAAATTAAGTAACTATCCAATGATTCAGAGCTATAAAGAGATGGATTCAGGCTTCCTGCCATGGTCTCTATGATTGTACTCCATAAGCCCCCTGCAGCCAGTCCCAGTGAGGAGAATCTCCATAAGGGGTCTTGGGTGGCCCTGAGGTAGACCAGAGAGCTAAGCCCGAGGTCGCCTGCCTTCCATGCCAAGCTTTTCCAACTAGTTACTGCTTGCAAAGTGTAGAGAGAACTGACACCAAGATCTTCTGACTCCACCCCATGGAGATAGTGAAGTTTGATGGTGTTAAGAGAAGAGAGTAAACAGCTGTGTTGTAGTGTGACTTCCCAAGTCCCTAAACCTCGTACCTCTCTGTTTTCTAGGAGTGTAGCTTTCAAAGGGCACAGAGAGCATGGCAGGTAAACATGATTTCTCTTCTGAATTTTGTTTCCCTGAGACCTGAGGAGTACGGAGGCAGCGGTTCACGGTGGTTGCAACCCCTTCTCTCACCTCCAGTTTGCTTCTTACTCTTCTGATGTTCTCTTTTCTCATGGACAGCTTCTGCCATGGAGCTGTGCATTGGTGGCATATGTGCCCTCTTTGCCTGTCACCTGGGTGCTTTTCCTCCGGCACTGACAAGCATGCCTTTTTCCTCGGTGGCATGGCCGAAGTTGGTGGCTAAGTTTGGCCCTGCAGAATCACTGAGCCCACGGTGAGCACCTCTGCCCAGCTTCTCCTTGGGCAACAGAACAGTGGCGCTTATTTTCACCATAGAAATGAGCAAATTCTACCCACCCACGCTTTCTTCTTCCAGAGCACTAGTCGGTAAGGGTGCCTGCCTCATCTGCTGCCAGAGACATGTGCTTCTATTCTCAGGAGGCTGAACAAACAACAGGAGCAGCTGAAGGAAAAAGGTGAAGGGATGCCCGACTTCTCAACTGTCCTAATAGGAAGATTGCCTGGCTAGATGAAGATCAAGTAGCTTTCTTTTTCTCTCTTGCTTTGCTCTTCTATAGGATCCCACTCATTTGAAGTAAAGATTCATTGGAAGTGTCTATGAACCTGTCTGGGAGAGATGCTAAGATATAAAGCTGAGTTCAGCTCAAGATAAGTGAAGATTGGGACATGGAACCTCCTGGAACAACCTCCTTGCTCTCTTCCTTGTGCCTTCTGGAAATATCTTTCCAGGGCAAAATTAACTCTCCTACTAAGAATTACGTAGATCTGTGCATTTCCCCCTCATACCTGGCTTCTAGGAAACCCACAGGGAAGTCTGCATTTAGACTTTGCATTTAGATTTTTTATCATGTATGATTCTCATGTATCCCTTTCCTTCATTTCTCGTTTTGCACAGTGTTTTTTAATACAAACAAGTTCAAATGCATTTAGGCAATTGGCAAGCTATCATTCAACCAACCCTTCAGTCACATTTAGATTTCGTTTTAAAATCCTACAGTCTTACCCTAAAAAAATGAAGGGGAAAATGTTCTACATTTTACTTACTTTCTTTTCACCCACCATTGAGATATGCCTATAAAACAAAATATGCCTGTTTATAAGATTATCTTTATCGCCTCTATTTTTCAAATTTGGGAAATTACACTCTGTCTTCCTCATTGGATTGGCAAGTTCTTTGTTGTGTGAACCAAATTTAAATTTAATTATGTACCATGTTTATTAAAGCTCAGCACTTGATAAATAAGGACAAATGTGAGGCAGCTATGCTGGTGGGCTCTTTCCTGTGAAATTTTATCTACATCTATCAGTGAGATTTCACAAATGCCTAAGATTAATCCTTTAAACATCTTTTACTTAATGCTGTCAAGCCAATGTTTTTTTAATGACTTTGAAAACTTTTTGTATGTAAATGTATTATGCATTACTTCTGAAATCTTATACAATGATACCATTTGAAAGGCATTTTGCAGTATTGTTCTTGTCTAGATGCTGGCTCATTTTTTTTAATACTGTTCTTGAAGAGGAAAAACTTCAAAACAGCAAATCAGTTAACTCTTAGGCTTGCTTTGTGAAACAATACGGTGTGCTTGCTTGCTAAAGACACAGAGTTCCTTCTCTTAGAAGCACCATTTCTTCCTACAGAATTTTCAGAAGTTGGGGGGGTAGAGTCCCAAACCAATATTGTAGCAGGTTTCTTCTTAGCTTGAGAATGGGTGTCTCTGGCTAAGAAGAAAGTTAGACAGATAATGTCCCTAAAGCTAGCTGAGAAATGAAGATTTTTATGCCCCAGTGAAGCTTTGTAATGGTTACCCGGGATTGGCCACTTCAGATCACGGTTGAAGGAAGCAGGACTCTGTCACTGTGGTTGAGTCAGATAAGAATTTCCCAGTCCATGTGTATCTGAAAGCACCAGTCTTGGGTGTGCCATTATTTTTGCCTCTACCACCCATCAGTGACCGTCTCTGGGACAATAACTATAGTGTTTCTTTGTATATTACTGGTTCCCCCACAAAGTGTGTGGCCTATTAAAGGTAGGTAGTTAACTAGTCAACACATGCCTTCATTTATTCATTGACATACAAATATCTGTGGAGCTCCTGTCATGAATCGGGAGCTGTGCTGAGTGCTGCAGATATAGTGGTGAATAACGTGAGCAGCTGGCAGACTACTTCCTCACCTCCGAGGCTGTGTGTTCATTGAAAATGCAACCTTAGTGCATTCCTTCAGACCTCAGAAGATGTGGAGCATTACAACGCTGAGATTTACAGTTTGGTCCAAGATTTTTTTTTTTAAGGAAAGAAGTAAATAAGACCATTCGACAAGCCTGGGAGCAAAGATTAAACTGTATTTGACTGTCTTGCCCCTTTTGTGTTTTCTTCATACTAAGTTCCCTCTGGGGAATAATTCAGAATCTCCCTCTGAAGCCAACACATGAACGGTAACTCTATCGAGGAAATAAAACATTATGCCAATCACGCAAGGGTGATGACTTCATTTTCCTACCAGCAGAGTTTACTCTCAGGGACACTGTACATCCTACCTGACCTCTTGCTCTTCAGTGCTCAGACCCAAGCCAAACGTATGATGGATGTCATAGCAGGTGTTGCTATCTTCCAGCAACCTAGGATGTGGTTGGGACAGGAGCCACACTTCAGTCCAAGACACACAAGTTGGTGTTCTTCCCTTATACCCCCAGGTAGTGGTAAGAAAAGTCATACTTACCCCACTTTCTGAAAACGCTTCTCCAGGTGATCCCACACGTACCTGATTTTCTGCACTTGGATGCATCGCAGCTGCAATTACAAATGGGATCCATCAGGTGTCATTCACAAGATACAGTTCATTGAAGTGGGTTGTGCAATGTAGGTCTAGGTACCTTTCAGCCTCTTTGGTAATAGCTGTCATTCCCAACCTGATAGCATTATATTCAGAGCTTCCGTGCACACCCACGTATTTTATTCTTTCTCTGAAATAACATGGCACTCTTACAATCACTTACTTTTAATTCCGGTTTCACTACGGCTCGGTTAATGACAGAGTGGCAGTCGGCCACCAAGGGGTCTTCTGAGTGCTTGCTCATAGGAAACTTCAGCGTGGATAAGGAGAGGCAGAGCACTTTCTTCCTCATATATCTTTGAAATTCATCCTAAAAAAAGTCATTTCAGCCTATAAAATTGTGCAGTGTTACTTCACAAGGTGCTCCATGAACGAGATACCTACCACATGTTAGATCAGGGAGTGGTTCCCAAGCAAGAACACCAGCATTGTCTTAGAACTCACTAGAAGTGCACATTCTCAGCCTCACCCCAAACCTACTGAATTAGAAATTCTGGTGGTGGGGGCTCAGTCTGTGTTTCAATCCAGAGGATTCTGATTCACTCAAAAATATGAGAACCTCTGGGCTACAGAATCATCAAGGAAAAAATACTTTGTAGGAAAGCTTTATGTCTGCAAAATGGTTTCTAGCTATTTTTAATAACACCTCATTGTCTTAAGTGTTTCCTACTCTCTCAAATACGTATTTTTGAAAATGTGAATGGTTATTCCTATATTGTAGTATAAGAGTCGTGACTCTGACACCTGCTTCCCATAGAATGGTGAGAAGCCCTGCCCAACACCTTGACATGCTAGAAATCTCCCGGTTTCAAGTGAAGGAAGTGCCCTGCATTCCTGGACTGAAAAGAGACAGCTTGCTTATTGCATTAAGAGTTTTTCCATCTCCTTTTCTGGCTCATCAGGCAGGAGACCACAGATACAGTAGGGAAGACATGATTGTAGCTTTTCATTTCTTCTTTAAAATATATTTTTATGAATTGCCACATAGTAATCGTGTATGTGTAAGGGGTACAGAGTGACATTTCAATACACATACATGGTATGTAATGATCAGAGTAGAGCAACTGGTCTATTCATCGCTTCTGATGTTTATCATTTCTTTGTGTTGGAAACATCCCAAATCTTCTCTACAAGCTGCACTGAAATAGTTGGTTGTCTCCTGCCAGTCATCCCACCATGCTGTAGAGCTTTAGGGGTTACTGCTCTTATCCTGCTGCATGTCCACGCCCGTTAGCTAAGCATCCTCCCTGTGTCCCTCAGTCCCCACACACTTCTCCGACTCTGGCGGCATAATGCAGCTCTCCACTTCCACAAGGTCTAGTTCTGCAAGCTTTACCGCGCCGCACACAAGTGAGGGCGTGCAGCCCCTGTCTCTCTGTGGTGATCATGGCATTTGAAACAGATAACAAAAGGGCACACACCGTTGTCCTCAGCAAAACAGTGTCTGCTTCTTGCAAAGGGCATGGGATGCAGTTGGCCCACACCCTCCACTCGGGCCTCCAGTAGAACACCAGCTGAAGGGCCCCAGCAGTCAGCACAGACGTGACAAGGCACATGGCTCTCCGCAGAGTCTGGGTATTGTAGCCGAACACCTCCTGGAGGGTGAATAACATATCATTCTATCTTACCATTTTCACATAAACCCATAATTTTGTTTCAAAAGACACAAATTTTAGAAGCATTAGTGATGGTTGGGGAGAATATTTGTCATCAAATAGTAGAGTCAGATTGGCTGCTTGCAAGTGTCAGCTGATACAATAACCCAAGAGCTCCTCTAACCCCTTGGCATGCAAAAGAAAAACATTACCAGGAGAGGCAAGCAACAGGCAGATCTTTTCCTTCTGTGCATTCATAGGAGTCACCTCAGATTTTTATAAAGTACTTCATGTGTTGAACCAAACTTTTTAAAGTATGAAGTATGTTAAAATTTGTTTATATTATTTTATTCATTTGAAAGATACATTTATAACTGCTATGATCCACACAACATCTAGCCTTTTCCAGATTTGGATTTGTTTTATAAACATGACAGTGAATGATTAAAAGTATCAATAGAAGCACTGCTTACTACAAGTGTGGTATAAATTAAGAGATTATCAACTCAATAAAAAAAAAAAAAAATTAAGAGATTATCCATGAACATGAAAGACTTTCAAAACACATCTCATATTTATTTACCCTGAGAGTAAGATGCTGCAATATTTGTACTTTTTGTAGTAGTTTAGTAGATATCTGTCATAAGTTGAGCAGACTTAAGGTATGATTTTAGGGGGGAAATAGATTTTGTTATTTGAAACTAATTTCCAGTTTCTAATTTCTACAATGAAATTTTACAACACTGTTTTTTGGTTTTTATTTTGTTTTTTGAGACAGGGTCTCACTATGTAGTTGAGACTGACCTGGAACTCACTATGTTGTTTTTTTTTTCTTCATTGAGTTTATTGGTACATTTTAGGTATACAGTACAGTCACATTCATTATTGGGATCTTGTACCTTTACATGACAGGTCTTGGTTCTTATTTTTTCCCCTTGTCCCTGCCCTCCCTTCACCCCCTCCCCATTTACAAACATTTTATTTCCATTTTTTCATTTTCTCCTATTTTTTTATTTCTCCTATTACCTTTCCCCTACCCTTCCCACTTTCCCTACAACTTCAGTCCTTTTCTTCCCATTTCACAATGTCAGTTATCTCATTAGGATCTTATGTACTATTATAGTTTATGCACACCAGAGAAACTATTTGGTGTTTACACATACGTGACTTATTTATTTCACTTAGGAGTATATCCTCAATATGTATCCACTTTCCTATAAATGAATCTAATTTCTCATTCTTTATGGCTGAGTAGTATTCCATTTTATAGAAAAACCACATCTTCTAAATCCAATCTCCAACTGATGGGCAAATGGGCTGTTTCCAAGTTTTAGCTATTACAAACTGTGCCACTATAAACATTGGTGTGCATATATCACTGTGGTATGATTCTTTTAATTCTTTTGGAAAGATACCCAGAAGAGGGATGGCTGGGTCAAATGGAACCTCTAGTCCCAGTTCTTTGAGGCATCTCCTTATTGATTTCCATAGTGGTTGCACCAGTCTGCACTCCCACCAACAATGGAGAAGCGTTCCTTTCTCCCCACATATTTGCGTATTTTCAACCTGCAAATATTTGTTATTGCTTGATTTCTTAGCAGCCATTCTTTGTGGGGTGAGGTGGAATCTCAGTGTTGTTTTCATTTCATCTCTCAACTGTGTAGCCCAGACTGGTCTCTAACTCACAGCGATCCTCATGCCTCAGCCTCATAAGTGCTGGGATTATAGGCATGCGCCACCATGCCTGGTTTACAACATTGTTTTTTCACAAGTTTCAAAATTTAAAATTTTAGTGTAATTTGAAGTCCCTGAGAGATATTAACTGTGGATAATGGCTTTATGATTTTATTTGGGGTTCCACTGTTTTCTTTCTTTCTTTTTTTCTAACTCTGAACTCCCATGTCTAGATCACAGAACTGTAAAGTCATGGAAAGAAATTGCTATTGAGTTTCTATCACACTTTTGATGAGGATACCTGTTGAATTTTATGCTCTTTTAGATCATGCTGGGGTACAGCAGAGCTCTTGGCTTCATCTTTGGAAAAGTTTTCATTTCCTGTGTGTCACTTTCATTAACTTTTCCTAATAACGCTACAGTAGATAAAGACTGTAATAACACTTGTTGAAAGTAACCCTTAAATGTGGTAGGAGGGTCATGGGCTTAAGAATCAGAAACTGTAAGTTGGAATCACCGCACTTGCCTGTTTCATCTATGTGACCCCAGGTAATCCATTTCACCTTTAAAGGATCCCATTTTAATCCTCTACAAGAACAACTAGAAGTATATTCCTTATAGGGAAGTTGTGCTCAAATAAAGTAATGCCTTTTGGATCGTACTGTGAAGTAATTACAATCATGAGAGTTCCTGTCCACCAGTGCTCAACAATGTCACTAATCTGAGAAAAAAATATTCATTAAGCTTAGTGATGCAGTCACTCTGTCTTGAGGTCACTCATGCAAAATTGAAATTCAATTCAGAAACATTTGTTCCCTGTGATTTTAAGCGTATTTTCAACTGGATCTTCTCCTTCCCTCTCTATGTTCCCTATGCTTCTATAAACCCTAATTTTATTTGAGAATTATCGTTTCATTGGATCCAAATAATACATATGCCAGTTCACATACTGTGTGACAAATATATATTCTTTGAGTATTTATGTGGTGTTATTGTCGAAGCCCAAGTGTGTACAAAACAAGCAGCATGATTTGAAATTTTAATACAACTTTATGGCTGAAATAGTATATTCACTAACAAGTTCCCTTTTCTTTTCTATGTATTTACACACTGCATGGCATTGATCATCATAGTTCTGGTACCCCTTCAATTCCATGTAACTTAATTTTTTAAAAAAAGAATTCACAACATTAGCAAGACTGCCACAAAAATCATTATATGTTCACATTGCTAAAACCTTTTGAATTAGATGATTCTTTAGGGAAAGTAAGGCTACAAACGGTATCAAGAATTATGAGGATATTTCTATCCCTTGAATCAGTAACTCTTCACTCGAAAGTATGCGCTAATGAAATAATATATACAAGAAAAGGATGACTACAAAACCCTCAGTGCAGCATTATCTGTAATTGGGAGAAGTAGATGATAGCTAATAAATAGCTCAATGAATTATGAAATGCCGAAAAGATGGGCTGTGATTGTACCACTGAAAAGAAACAAACCTAGGACATTAATGTGGAAACCTGACAAAGTGTTTCTGTACTATGCAGTGTCCAATGAACAACAGCAACAGAAGAACAAGCAGTAAAAATGGAAACCGTAGAACAACATCATACATTTCAACTATGTAGAAACTACATTAAATGTAAATGCTCTGAATAGTAAAAGGCACACAATGCACTTTTTTCAGGAAGAAAATCAGAACATCAGTTCATGAGATACCAAAAAAAGACAGATAACATTCAGCACTACTACATGATTTTAAAAAAAAAAACTCTCAGAGAACTACAACTAGATGGAAATATCCTTCCTTCAGCTCATACCACACTTACCGATAAAACATTCAACATATCTCCCTGAGGTCGCAAACAAAGCAAGAGCGTCAGCAATCACCATTAATATTCATCAGTATAGGATTGGAAGTCTTAACCAGTCCAATCAGGCCAGAAAAAGAGATGAAGATTTTTTGTTTGTTTTTTGGGGTTTTTTGTTTGTTTGTTAGTTTATTTTTTGAGAAAGGGTCTCACTATGTAGTTGAGACTGACCTGGAACTCACTTTGTAGCCCAGGCTGGTCTCAAACTCACAGTGATCCTCCTGCCTCAGCCTCCTGAGTGCTGGGATTACAGGCATGTGCCACCATGCCTGGCCCTGAGATGAAGATTTTTACACAGCTAAAACAAGCAAAATTTTATGTGTAAATAATGTTATATACACTTAAGCATCCAAAAGAATGTTCAAATTTTAAAAATTAGTGAATAAGTCCCACATGTGTAAATACCAAATAGTTTCCCTGGTGTGAATATTCTGCAACAATGCATAAGATTCTAATAAGATTACTGACATTTAGAAATGGGAGGAAAGGAGCTAAAGGTGTAGGGAAGGTGTGATACGTAGGGGAAGAACAAAAAGGGAAAAGAAAAAAATGTGAGAGAATGAAAAGATGAAAATAAAGTGTTTGTAGATGGGGAGGGGAGGAGGGGGTGAAGGGAGGGCAGAGGTAAGGGGAAAAAATGAGAATCAAGACTTGCCATGTAAAGGTACATGATCCCAACAATGAATGTAACTGTACTGTATCCCTAAATGTACCAATAAACTCAATAAAAAAAAAAAATTAGTGAATACATTAAGGTTGCTGGATATTACATCAGTATAGAAAAGGTGTTTGTATATACTAGTAACAGACAATCGGAAAATAAATTAACATTTATAATATCAAAGGAAAAATTAATTCTTATAATAAATCTAACAAAGTTGTGAAAAAACTTTAAACTGAAAACTGCACATCATTGCTAAGGCACAGTAAAGACATAAGTAAATGGAGAACTCTATTAAGTTTGGGAATTGGACAATAAATTTCCATGTCATCAGACATTCTTTGTGGTAATGAAAGAGCTGACTGTAAAATAGGTATGGATATTGCAAAGCACCTAGGGTAGTGAAGACAATAACTCTAGCGAACAAATGTGGAAGACTTACAACATCGGAGGTTAGACTTACTGCAAAGCCACAGTAATTAGCAAATCAAGGAATACAAAATATAAGGAAAAAGGCAACAAAACAAAACAGTCCCGAAAGGAACCCAAACATGATCACATTACTTGCAGCAAAGGAACCACTGCAATCCAGAGGGGAAAGACGCTTTGCTCAATAAATACTGGTGCAGCAAAACAAGCGGTTCCAGGAAAAAAAACAAGCTTTCCTCATTTGAGACAGCACAAATAGGTAATGTATACATTGATAAAAATAAATCATCTGATAGAAATATAGGAGAAAGTTTTTTCATGTATACTAAGTAGATAAATGTTTCTTAAACAGAAAGCAAAAA